TGCTTTTATTAGCTGTTACACTTTTTAAAAAATTTCGTGTACAGTATTTTAGCTGATCGTAAGTTTTTCACTTTTTGACAGGCCGTGCAATCCGTCACCGTGGTGATTACGCTTGTATTGTGTTGTGTGATCACCGATACGCCCGAACCGGGACACTGCAGAAACTTCCAGAATGGATTCGATCCAGCACACACACACACGCAACTTTCGGGCCTGCATTTGCCAGTGCCAGGAGGGTAAGAGTACTGCATTATATATATATATATATATATATATATATATATATATATATATATATATATATATATATATATATATATATATATATATATATATATATATATATATATATATATATATATATATATGTATATGTATATTTATATATATTATTAATTGAATAATTTAGAATCAAGGCATGATCATGTTGTATTTTGGTAAAATAAGTGTAATCTAGAGGCCTTTGCCTTTCACATAAGCCACTTCTGATACTAAATGATCAACTAGAAGTTGATTTATTATTTGCTGTTCCTAAAACCTGAATAGGCAATAATCCTATTGTAATATATATAGATATATATTTATTACAATAGGATTATTGCCATAGCAATGTATTAAATTCCTTTATTGATTACAATTTAAATAATGCAAAAAAGATTACACATATATATAGTAGATTTGTAAGGCAGTGTGTAGGATGTTGTTTTGGTGTAGTTTGACAGACAGGAGTGTGTGAAGTGTTTCTCCAGCTGAGCTCTCTGTAAGCAGGTCTCTTTTAATGACAGGAGAGATGATGAGCATAATTTTTTTAACTATGTTCACCTTCTCAACCTTTATTACGTCTTAACCGTCTCATCCTTTATTTGATTCTGCAGTTCTTCCTGGAGAAGCGACAGAAAGCCACACTCTGAAGGCCATCTACTCATCTGTGTGTGTGTGTGTAAAAACCCTACGTTCTGTCCTGCATTATGGATGTTTGTTTGAGTACTCCTTCCGTATGAATTATTGAGGTGAAGTTCAGCCTCCTCTCTCAGGTTTCTACATGTCATTTTCTTTGGTTTTTATTTAATTAAAGCTGGTTTTAATAATACTGGATTATAGCTGTGCTTGTAATCCAAAGCATGAAGCAGACACACTCGCTCAGATTGCTTAAAACATCACACAGATTAGTTTATTTTGTCTGTACTAAAAGCTATGAATGTCAGAGATGTTTTAGTACATGTAATAATAATGATAAAATATCAAAAATACATTCATTTCCTTAATGGAACGTCTGTTGTCTCGCCATCAAATCTTGTGAATGAGCACGAGGAGTTCAAAATGTTCATCAAAAATTATTAAAGTCAACATACTGTAAAACAAGCAAAATGTGAGCTCTCATACTCTGAAACTGGGTAATATTAAACAATTGCATGTGCATTTAGATGAAATTAGGTCTTATTTTAAATAAAAGAGTAACATTTTACCAAAGTTTGTTAGTTATATTAGTAAACATGATTATTTTTAAGATCTAAAGTTGTATGTAATATTAAAGCATTATACAATTTTACATTTAGTAACCCTTTACAATAAGGTTGTATTAGTTTATGTATTTACTATCACTAACAAACAGTGAACAATACATTTATTACAGTATTTGTTCATGTTAGTTAACGAAAATACAGTTGTTCATTGTTAGTTCTTGTTAAGTGGGTGCATTAATGTTAACAAATAGGAATTCTTATTTTAATAATGCATTAGTAAACGTTAAACTATGATTAATAATTGCTGTAGACGTGTTGTTCATGTTATTAAATATATTAACTAATGAAACCTTATTGTAAAGTGTGACATTTGTAGGTTATCAAATGCTATAAAGATACTGCTATGAAAAAAGTTGAGTATTTGCTATTGATGCCTTTGATAAAAATGTTTAAGCAAATGACATTATTTTATTTGAAATATAGAAGAAATGTTATCAAACCTTTAAAGATTGTATAGATTAACATTTTACTGGAGTACATAAATAGCAAATACATAAATACTCAACTTTTTTCATAAAAAATATCAAATAAATCCAAAAACAACAAAAAAATTAAGCTTTTAAGTTTTTTTTTCTGTAGCTATATATTGCTCATTGTTATAGTTCACCCCAAAATCATTGTCACCCTTTACCTGTTTTGAACCTGATGATTTTTTATATTCTGTTGACCAGAAAAAAAAAGATATTTTGAAGAATGTTGGAAACCGGTAACCATTGACTTCCATAGAGCTCTATTTTAACAATCTAAGCGCAAAGTCTAAAGCGCAGGGCGCAAATGCATTAAGGGCGTGTTCCAATCCACTTTTGCTATTTTAAGGATGGAAAAATACGCTCTGGGCCGCTGCACATGGTCTAACAGGGTTGTGCTTATTCTCTTAATAAATTTTGGGTGTGTTTTGAGTATAAAGTGCATTAAATCAATCAGAGTCTCATCTCCCATTCCCTTTAAGAGTCAGTAGTGTCGCGCCATGGCGCATTTATTATATACAGTGCAAGTCAGAATTATTAGCCCCCTTCGAATTGTTTTCTTCTTTTTTAAATATTTTCTAAATGATGTTTAACAGAGCAAGGAAATTTTTACAGTATGTCTGATAATATTTTTTACTTTTTTAATTTGTTTTATTTCTGCTCGAATGAAAGCAGTTTTTGAATTTTTAAAAGCCATTTTAGGGACAAAATTATTAGCCCCTTTAAGCTATTTTTTTTCTTGATAATCTACAGAACAATCTACTGTATTTAATAACTTGCCTAATTACCCTAACCTGCCTAGTTAACCTAAGTAACCTAGTTAAACCTTTAAATGTCACTTTAAGCTGTATAGAAGTGTCTTGAAAAATATCTAGTCAAATATTTTTTACTGTCATCATGGCAAAGATAAAAAAAAATAGTTATTAGAGATGAGTTATTAAAACTATTGTGTTTAGAAATGTGTAAAAATCTTCTCCCAGTTAAACAGAAATTTGGAAAAAAAAAAACAAGCGGTCTAATCTTCAATCAACCGCTTTATTTTTTCTTTAATTTATATTTACTTTTTACTCCTTTACTTTCATAGAGTAAGAAAACAGTGGAAACTCACTCCACTAAAGACATCCATTAGTCTATATAAATAATTTTGTTTTGTTAAGTGCAAAGAAAACGAATAAATGAACAATAATAACAAAGTGTGGTCAAAACACCGAATTATATCCAAACACACGACCTATTCTTATGTACCATATGGTGATGCATACGTCTTCAAAACCCGAGACATGGACAAATCTAAATGTATTTTTATTAAAGGAAATATAAATATGTATATAATAAACAATACTGTTGATAATAATAAGATTATACAAATGCAGAAAAAAAAAAAAGAGTAGTTGGTCAATAGTGCAGTCTATTTCAGTTCCTCAAAATAGCAACACGCCAGCAATGCGCCTTAACACACCTCCCTTATAGACCAGCACACCCATGAGTCGACAAAGTTGCGCAAATGGATTTACTATTTAAACAACTATGTGCAAAACGTGAAAATTAGGGTTGAGCTGGTCTGAAAATAGCAACAAATCACACCAAACATGTCTTAGGCAGGGTGTCCGTGGTGTCTTAAAAAGTATTAAGTATTAAAAGTTAATAAATCATTTATAAGAAAATTAAGGCCCTTAAAAGGTATTAAAAAGTCTTAATCGCGTTTTTACGAGGTCTTACATTTTGTTTGTTGTCCAAAATGTTTGACTCCAAAAAAGCATAAAAATATTTATTTTCCTCCTGATATTAACAACAGCGTGCTCGAACCATGCGATTGGTTCGGGCCGGGGTACGTCCAGCCAAGCTCCTCCATCTGGGTGATGTCTTGTAATTTGCGACAAAAGCGGGAAGGTGATGTGACGCTGTAGTGAAACCATCAAGTAAAACGGACGCAAAATGGGAAAATGTAAGTTTGCGTACTCCTGGTTGGAGAAAGACGAGTTTAAACAGTGGCTGAAGCCTGTCGTTAAAAACAACCGCTTAATTTCCGAGCTCATCTGAGTTGTGTTGCATGGTCGGCTCCATTGATTTATTTAACTACAACTATTTATTAAGTTAAAGGTATAATACTGATTAGAACTTGAAGTGGTGATGAGGTCTTAAAAATAGTCTTGAGAATGTCTTTAAAAAGTCTTAAAAAGGTATTGAAATTATCGTTAGGATTCCTGCACATATTATTTTTCCTATCATGGAATTCAATGGTTACCAGTTTCCAATATTCTTCAGAACATCTCCTTTTGTGTTCATTTGGAACCACTTGAGGGAGAGTAAAAACTTGGTCTTCTATCCCTTTAATGCACAAACTCATTTGAACAAATTATTATATATAGAATTTTGGAAATAGTTACTAAAAGATAAACTTTTACAATCATTTACAGATAAATCGTGCATTAATTCTCATTATACAAATACAATACTATAAACTATAGTATAGTAAACTATAAACTATACAAAACAAATCTAGTAAATCCCAAAAAACTGAATTCATAAGCTCTCTTATTGTTCCCCACAGCTATATAATTCTCATTGTTAATTATCTAATTACATTTTTTTTTATAAACTATTACTTAAACATACATCTTAGGATCATTTAGACGTGAATCATGTCACAATTACCAGAAACATTTATTTTTAATTCCTCTTTACAGCAAAAAACAACCTGTATATTAAGTTCATTTCAATGTGCACATCCCTGATTATTAATAGCAGCCTGTACAGAGTGTTCATCTATTTGTAGCTATCTGATTACAGTTAATACGACTTGTATATTATGTTCATAGAGCATCCATCTGTAAATATTACCCATATTCTTCTAGAATTGCACTTATAACATATACCTGTGTCCTGCACTTGCTGCTATTACACTCCTGGTTAGACCTAAACTGCATTCTGTTGCCCTGTGCATTTGTAATGATAATAAAGTAGAATCTAATCTAACATATACACCAAAGAAGAATGGAAGTAGGATGAATTTAGATAACATGTTGACTTTAATAATATAACCCTTCAGACTTCTTATGACATATAAAACACGTCTTTACACTTTTGCTCATTCACTGACCTTCAGGACACAAAACCAGGAATAAAAGGTCTCGCAGATGTTCTTTTAGAGACCGTAGCCATATCTGCAGTCTTTGAGCCGGACACTTGGCTGTGGTTGTCCTCCATGCTTTATGCCTCCCAGTCGTCTTCATCGTCTGCTGCCGACTGCTGTGGTGCTGGCAGTGGAGGAATCACGTCTGACATCCTGGCGAAGGCACCGCCCGAGCTGGCAGGAGCTTCAGAAGAGTCTCCCTGACCCGCTGGACCCTTGCCTGAGATCCCTGTCAGATAATCATAAATATATATATATATATATATATATATATTTTTTTTTTTTTAAATGATGCTTCGGGTTGGATAAAAACTCTGAAAAATCAAACACACCTTTCCTGCGCATGGCCAGTTTATTGAAGAGGTCCGACATCAGGTCTCCACCACTGACTGTTGCCCCAACTGGAGGAAAATAATAATAATAATATTAAAATGGCTATTTGTGTGGACGGTAATGGGATTTAGAAGATGTGTTGACTTGTTCAGGGTGTCCATGGATAAAAGTAGAGGTCTTAAAGGTGCTTTCACACTTGGTTCGAATGTCTGGTCCGAACCCAAGTTCGATTGTCTCCCCTTGCCACTTTCATGGCTTCCGTCCATAACCGCCTACTACTCAGTAGGTACTGCATTTGAATTTAAACAAACTACTCGGCTCTGCATTTGAATTTAAACAAACTACTCGGCTCTGCATTTGAATTTAAACGAAGTACTCAGATATTAGTAAAGTGCGTTCTATACTGTATGAATGTGAAAAGTATGAATGGATTTCGGAAGTACTACATCCGCCATTTTGTCATGGTCACGTAATCTACCTGCGTCAGTTGCATCGCTTCACTCCTATTCATGAAATTCTGTTATGGGGATAGCAAGTGGCGCTCTGTATTTTGGTTTTGATGACAAAACCAACAGCTTCTGCAGACAGCACGTTATGTTCTGAACGTATACAATATTTTTTTTTGCGGCAGAATTTTTATTTTTTTAAATGTAAAACTGCTTTTATTCTAGCCAAAATAAAACAAATAAGACTTTCTCCAGAAGAAAAAATATTATCAGGAATACTGTGAAAATTTCCTTGCTCTGTTAAACATCATTTGGGAAATATTTAAAAAAGAAAAACAATAACAATTCTGACTGTATATATTCACCGATTATGGCTTGAGGGTGAGTTAATTATAGGGGTAATCTATAATTTATTTAAGAAAATAAAATAGCATGTTAAAAGAAAAATGGTTTTCCAACCACTACTTTTGTTATTTCTTGCAGCAAAGCACATATTTCAGGAGAAAAACAACCAGCAAAGTTTATTAAATTACATTCTCTCCCATCCTAAATGTGGCATTTACTCCTAAGTCCTAAATCATCATTAGTAATTACCTTTAACTAAGGCATGGCGACTTCAAGACCACATATATAAATACACTGATGATATATTAATGAAGAACTGGAAATATCAGAGCCTCCTCGAGTCTAGAGCCAGTCGATTTCAGAGCAAATGTCAAGCAGGTTTAAAAAGCCTAAATAGGGCAGATTTAATGAAAGTAAATTTCTGGTTTGACCTTTCCAAATACCACAGTGTTCTTCCGTATATCAGCAATACTGAAACAATGAATTGCTCTTGTTTTGAAAATGTATGTTCTTGTACTCCTAATATGAAACATTACAGAGTGCATCATTTACATACTGTATGCCAGATGGTAGCTATTCAATTGCTAGTCAGCCCCTACAGTAATTGGAGAGTTCCTGAGATCAAACAAAAACGAAAGACTGTACAAGATTTAGATGCACTTCTGTTCAGCATTTATATGCTACCTCTCAGGCAAATTCTACAAAAACTTGGTATTATCATTGCTATGCTGACGATACACAGATTTACATCAGTAAAACTCCTAATCTATCTGCCTCACTATCGACACTTAATGCCTGTTTGGTAGACATTAAAGCCTGGATGCAACAAAATCTTAAATTAAATAGTTCCAAGCCTGACATTTTAGTCATTGGCACACCCTCTTCTGTTAATAGATGTGGTAATCTTACGTTAACAGTTGATGGGTCTCTTTTAACTTGTTCTATGCAGGTATGAAATCTATGCAGGTATCGTACTTTTTGAACCTCATTTTAAACAGTTAACAAAAAGCTAATTTGATCTCTTCGGGAACATTGCCCGCATCCCTCCTCTTCTCTCTACACCAGATGCTGAAAGGCTTGTTCATGCTTATATTACGTCTCATTTAGATTTTTTGGAACTCTTTATATGGGGGTTGCCAGCCAATTCACTCAAGATTTTACAAAATGTTCAAAACTCAGCCGCACGTGTGTTAACTTAAACCTCATCTCGGTCTCACATTACCCCTGTACTCCAACAGTTACACTGGTTGCACGTTAAGTCACGCATCATTTAGATACGTTTCGAGGAGAGCCGTCAAAAAATCTGTAAATTATTATAAAATAGAAATTATAATTATTATATTACATACAGTTGAAGTCAAAATTATTATTTTTCTTTTTCAAATATTTCCTAAATGATGTTTAATGTTTGATGAGTGAATTGCTCAAGTTGGAAAATCTGAACTTCAGCAGACTTTAGAGCCACTGTAACCAATCAGGAGCTTGCTCTTATGTGGGTGTGATTATGACGTTGCACCTGAGGGGAAATCCGCCTGCCGACACCATACAACAGCTCATCCAACTGGGCTTGCATCAGTCTGAAGCACCGCTGAAAGCTTCCATCATTCAGGTATAGTTTCTGGAGGATTTAATGAACTCACAGAGTGCACTTCAGAAAAGATCTAGCGGACTCAAGACAGGGCGCCGAATTAATCTACGATGTTTTTCAGCCTTCCTAAAGCACAGCTAATCTTGACTATGCTTGCAATTTATGGCCTGTTTCCACTGAGTGGTACGGTACGGTACGCTTTTATGGCGGTTTCCACAGTCAAAAGGCGTACCAAACTGTACCATACTACTTTTTCAGCACCCTTTGGAAAGGGTACCAAACACGAGAAAGAGTACCAAAAGGTGGAGCTAGACGCGCAGCTAAACGCTATTGGTTTACAGAGATACGTCACGAGCTCACAAAACAAGCCAGAATGAAAACAAAGGAACCGCCATGTTTTAAATACACAGCCGAGATAACTTTTTACAGCGTAAATATATATACATATAATAACGAGCCATGGTTGACCCGAGCTCAAACAAGCCTTTTCGTCGTCTTGATGAACAGCCACAAAGCCAAGAAGAAGAGCAGACGTAGCCTGTGCCCCGTAGTTTTAAACGTGCCAGTCTGCAGTGCGAGCGGTTTCACTTTCTAGCTTGCGCTCGCAGCGCGTCTACATTCGGAATAACGAAATTCTTGAGCTGATGATAATAACGTAAACTTGATTATTGACATACTTTTGAAACCCGATCCTGTCAGAAACTGTCAAACGCGAGAGTGACGAGCGAAAAAACAAAGGAGAAGCCAGAAAAAAAATCACATTATTTTTTCAGCAAACGTGAACAAACTGCCATGTTTAACTATTATCATCACATTTTGCACTATTATGAACTCGGAATGATGGAATTACTCTATAACAAGAGGTTACATGTGCTGCTGAAGATTACAGACACAGATGAGAGGTCTGCTCTAACTCTGGGCTATATTTCGTGTTGTTTTTGAACCTAAATAAGGACTATGTCTGCTGTGTGGAGTGTTTCTATATATATATATATATATATTTATATATATATATATATATATATATATATATATATATATATATATATATATTTATATATATATATTTATATATATATATATATATAAAAAACATATCAGAGACTGTAACGGGCTGTACGTGTTCAAATATGTTGCATTTCATTTATTTATTTTATAGAATTGCAGACGTTACAGTAGGCTATTTCGCACTGTCATTGATCTGCAGATATAATCAACTCATGTTCATAGAAAAGTTAGTAATAAACATTTATACAGTAGTATTTATGTGTGTAAAGCATCTGTTTTGTGAGAAGTGCTTCTCACATTATATGTGAACGACCCGTACAGCTTTACTGTAGACATTTTCTCTGGCGAAAATGACTGACACTTTTTGTCGTACACCATGGCCACTAAAAGAGTATCGTTGGTACCCTTTTAGCAGAGGACACGCAAGCCTGATAAAGGTGACCTGTACCAATTGGTACTGTACCACTCAGTGAAAACAAGCCATTAGCAACGAAACTAGAGTTACTCACCAGGCATATAGATGACCCGCCCATGACGCGAATCCATGTCTATTGTGAAGTGAATTTGACATGCAAATGAAGCGAATAAACAAAATGTTCACATGCCTATTTGCATGCAAACAGCATGCTTTATTTGTGCATGCAGCATCTGGTTGCAACTAATTTTTTTCCACGGTATTTCCTATAATATTTTTTCTTCTGGAGAAAGTCTTAATTGTTTTATTTCGGCAAGAATAAAAGCAGTTTTAAATTTTTTAAAACCATTTTTAGGTCATTATTAGCCCACTTAAGCAACATTTTTATTGCCTACAGAGCAAACCACTATTATTACAATGACTTGCCTAATTACACTAACTTGCCTAATTATCCTAGTTAAGCCTTTAAATGTCCCTGTAAGCTGCTTGTACTTTGCAAGTGTCTTGAAAAATATCTAGTAAAATAAAATTTACTGTCATCATGATGAAGATAAAATAAATCAGTTATAAGAGATGAGTTATTAACACTATTCTGTTTATAAATGTGTTAATAAATCTTCTCACCATTAAACAGAATTTGAGGGAAAAATATAGAGGGGGGTTAATAACTCTGACTTCAACTTTATATATATAAAAAAAAGTCCCAGCAAAATCCTGATGGCACTAGCTATTTATTTCCCTCATGGTTGCCCTGGCAAACACTGCTAACAAGTTTCCTCCTCTAATAACAGTTGAGCTAATGTTAACACCCTGTAATTGGCTGTGTTTGACAGCATGCGTGGTCTGTTTTATTGAGTGTAAGCACTGGTTGTCTGACCTTGCTCTTGTTCCTTCTGTTTCTTCTTCTCCATCTTGCGCTCCTTTACATTGCGGAGGTTTGCTTTGCCGATACCGCCAGCATTTCGGATTGACTCTAAAAGACTGGCTCGCCCATTCGATGGTTGTACGACCTCAGATGGAGCTCCTTTTACCGTACCTGAAACACACACAAAAGAAAATACCTGTATATATAAAAAGAATAATAAAATAAATAAAGGTTTCCCAAAGGACTTTATACCACACTTATTAAAAAAAGCAAATGCCAGAAAATTCATTAATAAATTAAAAATTAAATAAAATAATATAATAAAGATTCCTGGAGGACTTTTTACCACACTTTTAAAAAAAGTAATTGCCAGAAATATTGTATTATTGAATTCAAAATAAAATAATAAAATAAATTAAGATTTCCTTAAGGGCGTTATACCACATTTTAATCATGTAAATGCCAGAAAAAATATTATTAAATTCTTTATTAAATTAAATAATACAATAAATAAAGGTTCCTAAAGAACTTTATACCAGATCTTTTAAAATGTAAATGCAAGAAAAAAAGGTATTAATACATTTTAAATAAAGGTTTCCTGAAGGATTTTTTTATCACACTATTAAAAAGTATAAATGTTAGAAAAAATATTATCAAATAAAAAATAAAATAAAACAAAACGAATAAAGATTTCCTAAAGCACTTAATACCACTTTTTAAAATCTAAATGCCAGAAAATTAAACAATAAAACAAATAAAGGTTTCCAAAAGGACTTTATATCATTTAAAAAATGTAAATACCAGAAATTAATAAATAATAAAAATAAAATAAAATAAATAAAGGTTTCTTAAAAGTCTTATACCACATTTTATTTTAATGTGAATGCCAGAAAAAAATGGTTTTCTGAAGGACTTTATACCACATTTAAACAATGTAAATGCCAGAAAAAATTCATTATTAAAATTAAAAAATAAAATAATAAAGGTGTCCTAAAGGACCTTATATCAATTTTCAAAAAAGGAAATGCCAGAAAAAAATGTAATTAAAAATAAAATAATATAATAAATAAAGGTTTCCTAAAGGATTTTAAAACACATTTTTTAAAACGTAAATGCCAGAAAATGTTTTTTTTATTAAATTAAAATTAAAAATAAAATAAATTACCGTTTCCTAAAGGAGTATATAACACTCTTTAAAAACGTAAATGCCAGTAAAAAAAAGTAATTAAACATATAATAAATAAAGGTTTTTCTAAATAATTTTATATCACATTTTAAATATAAATGCCAGAATTTGTTTTTTTATAAAAGTAAAATAAAATAATAAAATTATTAAAGGTTCCTGAAGGACTTTATACCACAATTTTTAAAAACGTAAATGCTAGAAAAATTTTAATTTTTCTAAATTAAAAATATAATAAATAAAGGTTTCCTGAAGGAATTTAAACCAATTTTTAAAAATTGTAAATGTATTAACTAAAAAAATTATTAAATAAAAGATTTTATTATGTATTATTAAATTCAAAATAATGCTTTATTTAGCAAGCATGCATTAAATCAATTAAAGACGACAGTAAAATATATTTTGGCAGCTGAAAATTCAGATTGGATGTCAAGAATGAATGGCTTTTCAATGAATATTAAGATATTATATTAAGAAAATAGTTAAGATAATATTTCACTACTACAATATCCATAAAAACACACAAACAACTGCAAATGTAAAAGAAAAGAAAAAGTAGTAAACCAATTGTAATCTGGAATGCTAATACTTCATTAGCATCCGAGCCGGTTTGCTGCAAGCAGTAATGAAAAGTAATTAAGTACCACTAATATCTGAAGTTACATAAAATGTTACCTGTGGGCGGGGCTGGGCTTGATGCATCAGTGTTGTCTGCTGTCATAGGTGGAGGTGGGGGTGGAGGGGGCGGAGCTGCAGATGTTCCAGGAGGCGGGACTGGCACATGGGTTGGTTCCGGTGGAGGAGGGGGTGGGGGAGGAGGAGGGGGTGGAGCCTCCAGTTTAAACTGAGAGTCTAAAAAACAAAATACAAATTAGAATTAAATTATTATGCTGTTTTTTGTTTCTTTTATTTTAAAAATGGCATAATTATAAATTCATATAAACAAAAAAATATACTTTGCTGTTCGTTCAAACTAATATAAAAGGAGTTGAAACAACAAAATTCTTACGTTTTTTTGGGGGGACAACTTAATATATTTATGTTAATTTCACTAAATCGATATGTGTTGGGATAATATGAAACAGCAGTTTTTACAGTGTTTTACATATATATGTTTATATTTGTAAAATCAAAATCATATTACAGTTTTTCACATAAATTTACAATAATAAAATTGTATATAATTACTTTTATTATTACTACAATTTAATATATTATACATTGATTTAATATTATTTGTAATTTATATATTTTAGAAAATGTTTTTGAAAAAACTAATATAAAATAAACATCAGTAGATATAAATGATACAATTTTTATTTAGCAAAATAATATTGTTTATATTGCATTATGCTTTTAATTATACTAATTACAATAATATATTCATTTAAAATGACTAAATTATATAATTTTCAAAGAACATTTTTACATATTATAATTAAAATAATAATAACATTTTATTTAATAATATTGAATTGTATATGATTTACAATTACATATTTTATAAGCAGAAATTAAAGCATACACAGTAGGGGAAAATCTTGATGGTTCTGTGGGTCTCGTCTATCAAATCTGATCTTTAATTTGTATTTTCTATTGGATTCAGATCAGGTGATTGGCTGGGCCATTCTACAGCTAGATTTTCTTTCTCTGAAAGCATTTGAGAGTTTCTTTGGATCATTGTCTTGTTGAAATGTCCACTCTGGTTTCATCCTCATAATCCTGCTAATGTAGATGCTGGACTGAAGCAGCTGATGAAGGGCAGAGGGTTGCTGAAGAACTACTGAGAGATTTCAGCTGCTGTCTGGGCTTTCACTGCCTTTCTACACCTCCCTTTTTTCATGTGTTTAACTTTTTTCATGTGCCATTTTATTTTATTGCACATAACTAATTAGTTGTGTTTTCTTTGCAAAGTTCCAAGTCAAAAGCACCTTCAGAAATATGTTTTCTGAGAAAAATAGTGACGTATTCAATACTTATTTCCTCCACTGTATATATACAAACACCTTTACAATTTGAATAATATCAGTGTTTCATTATATGTTGAAGAATTATTATACATTACAAAAATTGTGTATGATAACATAATTCATAATTAAATCACATAACGGCAGATTAAATAATGAAAAATTGTGTTTAGTCATAATAAACCCACCGGATCCGCTAGATTCATCATGGTCCGTGCCAAAGGATGGAAGTTCAGGGATGCTGTTGCTGGCAGGAACGGATGGAGCGAAACCCGGGCCGAGGTCAGCGCTGTACATCAGGTCATCAGCGATGCCCGGCAGGTCTGGCAGGTAAGACGGCACATCAATCTCCGGCACCTGCCCCAGATCTGGCACATAGAAATAATTCTCCGCCGTCTAAGGGAATGAAACATGACAGAAGTCAGAGAAGCTTGATTCCTTTTTTCCAGTGCCTGATGGGTTATGTGTATAGCTTAAATATGTTTAAACTACACTGTTTAGTATAAGTATAGTTAGATTACCGCTCCGGGGTGTGCTAGTTTTGTACAGGTTTAAAAAAAGTGTAAAAAGAGACAGTTCACAAAAAATAATAATTCGTCATAATTTATTCAATCTTGTTTCAAACAAGTTTCTTTTTGCTACTGAACACAAAGGAAGATATTTTGAAAAATGTTGGAAACCTAAACTTTTCTGAAAAGCTGTAACTATTGAAAAACGAATGAAAAACTGAACACAAAAGAAGATATTTTGAAAAATGTTGGAAACCTACACTTTTCTGAAAAGCTGTTACTATTGAAAAACAATGAAAAAAACTGAACACAAAAGAAGATATTTTGAAAAATGTTGGAAACCTACACTTTTCTGAAAAGCTGTAACTATTGAAAAACAATGAAAAAAACTGAACACAAAAGAAGATATTTTGAAAAATGTTGGAAACCTACACTTTTCTGAAAAGCTGTATCTATTGAAAAATGAATGAAAAACTGAACACAAAAGAAGATATTTTGAAAAATGTTGGAAACCTAAACATTTCTGAAAAGCTGTAACTATTGAAAAACAATGAAAAAAACTGAACACAAAAGAAGATATTTTGAAAAATGTTGGAAACCTACACTTTTCTGAAAAGCTGTATCTATTGAAAAATGAATGAAAAACTGAACACAAAAGAAGATATTTTGAAAAATGTTGGAAACCTAAACATTTCTGAAAAGCTGTAACTATTAAAAAATGAATGAAAAACTGAACACAAAAGAAGATATTTTGAAAAATGTTGGAAACCTAAACATTTCTGAAAAGCTGTAACCACTGAAAAACAATGAAAAAAACTGAACACAAAAGAAGATATTTTGAAAAATGTTGGAAACCTACACTTTTCTGAAAAGCTGTAACCACTGAAAAACAATGAAAAAAACTGAACACAAAAGAAGATATTTTGAAAAATGTTGGAAACCTACACTTTTCTGAAAAGCTGTAACCACTGAAAAACAATGAAAAAAACTGAACACAAAAGAAGATATTTTGAAAAATGTTGGAAACCTAAACATTTCTGAAAAGCTGTAACTATTGGAAAAAACAATGAAAAACTGAACACAAAAGAAGATATTTTGAAAAATGTTGGAAACCTACACTTTTCTGAAAAGCTGTATCTATTGAAAAATGAATGAAAAACTGAACACAAAAGAAGATATTTTGAAAAATGTTGGAAACCTACACTTTTCTGAAAAGCTGTATCTATTGAAAAATGAATGAAAAACTGAACACAAAAGAAGATATTTTGAAAAATGTTGGAAACCTACACTTTTCTGAAAAGCTGTATCTATTGAAAAATGAATGAAAAACTGAACACAAAAGAAGATATTTTGAAAAATGTTGGAAACCTAAACATTTCTGAAAAGCTGTAACCACTGAAAAACAATGAAAAAAACTGAACACAAAAGAAGATATTTTGAAAAATGTTGGAAATATTGAGTTAATTTAAATTTGAGTGAGAACACCAGACTGAACAGCCCACCTGTCTCTCTAGCTGCTCTCTCTTGGTGATGGACAGAGGTGCATCAAACGGTTTATCCTCTTTCTCGGTCTCCAGCGTGGTGTGTGTTTTCGTCACAGCGCCCGCCAGAGGGTCAAGAAACACATATTTCTTGTAGCTGCAAACATACACACAGAGTGCTGATTATATGAGCATTAATAAGGCTGTTCAGTCAGCATGTGTGTAGGTGTGTTTGTACTCACAGGTTCTCGGTTGTGTTGAACAGCAGTAAAGAGCTGACCGAGTTGACATTTCTCGGCAAACTTCCCAAACCCTCTTCTGTCTCATCCTCGGAGCGCTTCTTAGTGTTCACACACACCGGCAAATACATCAACTTCTCCTATGAATAAGAAGATGGAATCAACACGAGAAGCTGTACTGTAATCAACGCACATTTATGAAAAAAAAAAAAAAACAAGCATTTTGTGGAATTGGGGGACATTTTCTTTTTAAAATTTCATTTTGACATTTTAGAGTGTCACAGTGGCGCAATGGGTAGCACAATCGCCTCACAGCAAGAAGCTCGCTATTTCGAGTACTAAGAAACATCCATACACTCTCACATTCACTTACATACATACACTATGGCCAATTTAGGTTATTAAATTCACCTACAGTGCATGTCTTTGGACTTTGGGGGAAACTGGAGCACCTGGAGGAAACCCACGCCAACACAGGAAAAACATGCAAACTCCACACAGAAATGCCAAATGACCCAGCCGGGACTCAAACCAGAGACAAACTAGGTGACAGTGCTAACCACTGAGCCATTGTGTTGCCCCTTCCAAGTACTTCCTTAAACAAATTAATACACACACCCTTGAGTTAAAAACCTGTTCACCTGCTGGGCCTTGTCATCCAGTGGGCGGAGTTTGCTCTGGACTTTAATGCGAGGTCTCTTTTGGGAGGCGGGATCAACTGCACCGGTGAAGATGGAGGAATAATCCTGGAGTTTTTCTGGAGCGGGGTACTTGGCACTGGAGAACACCTACATAACAACAACAAAAACATCAGTGTTGTGAAGCAATTATTAAATAATTAGCCATTTAGTTTATGCTTTAATGTCATGTGACAGTGTATTTATTGTTGTAAAAAAACTTGTAAAGCCAGCGATGCTGAGATCATGGGCTTTGTTTTGAGTAAAAGCGGGACAAAATTATTATTATTATTTTTTTTATTACACACACACACACACACACACACACAAACACAAACACACACACACACACACAAACACAAACACACACACACACACACACACACACACACACACAAACACACACTTTCTTTTGAGACAAAAGAAGATTGTAAACTGGTAACCATTGACTTCCATAGTATTTTTTTTTTTTTCTATGGAAGTCAATGGTTAGTCAATGTAGGGTCATACCAATTTTCACACACACAAGGTTGGAAAACAGTAGCCACTGACTTCCATAGTAAAAAAAAAAACCCTATGGAAGTCAAGGGTTACCGGTTTCCAACATTCTTCAAATCATCTTCTTTTGTGTCTTAGAAGAAACTCTAACAGGTTTGGTAAAAGTGTAGGATCATGCCAATTTTCACACACACAAGGTTGGTAAACTGTAGCCACTGCCCTCCATAAATAAAAGATACCATGGAAGTCAATGGTTACCGGTTTCCAACAATCTTCAAATTATCTTTTTTTTGCGTCTTAAAAGAAACTCTAACAGGTTTGGAAAAAGTGTAGGATCATGCCAATTTTCACACACAAGAGGTTGGATAACGGTAGCCATTGATTTCCATAGTAAAAAAATAAAAATAAAAGATACTATGTAAGTTAATGGTTACCGGTTTCCAACATTTTTAAAATGCTCTTCCTTTGGGTCTCAAAATAAACTAACAGGTTTGGAAAAAGCATAGGATCGTGCCAATTTTCACACACAAGGTTGGAAAACGGTAGCCGTTGACTTCCATAGTAAAAAAATATACGAATTAAAAAATACTATTGGAGTCAATGGTTACCGGTTTCCAACATGCTCCAAATTATCTTCCTTTGTGTCTTAAAAGAAACTCAAACAAGTTTGGAAAAAGTGTAGAATCATGCCAATTTTCATTTTTGGGAGAACTATCTCTTTAATGCTAATCTTTTGTTATTCAGGCAAATATGAGCCAGACGATTCTTGATACTTGAATCATTAGTTTGTGCCCTTCAGCACCACACATTCACTGGCTCCAGACGTCTGCAGCAGAATGCGTTTCTCCTCAACACTGTCAGATTGTTGTGCGTGAATCTCGGGTTTCACCTTCGTGGCTTTCTTGCTTCCTTTGATCTTCTGGACTCTGGCCTGAGCGAGTTTGATACGGTCTGTGACGGACTGAAGGTGCGCACGGTTCTTCTCCACGCTCTCAGACACCCTATCAAAGCCAAAAGCATGTCAGAAACACCTCTGCACATCCACAGCACAACTTCAGTCTGAAATACAGTTCTTATGGGGATGATTCCATAGGGAACTGTATTTGATTAAATTATAATAAACCAGCTACAAGCATCCATCAATACAATTTATAAAATTTTTACACAATTTAAATCAACAATGTTTTATCATTTCATGAGTCTAACATTATTCAGGAAATTGTATAATAAAAATAATTCAATAAATTAATTAATTATATATACATTATTAAATTTACAAAAAGTACAATTTCTCATCCCTGAGTGCTTTTAAAATCATTTAAAGACCACAAAAACACATGGAAAATGTGATAAACATATATAATATATAAACTCAACATTTCATAGCCTGCCATTTGACTATTACTTATGATCAGATTGCGATATCGACGCTAAAATAATATATTGCGCATCAGTTTATTGTAGAAAGCTGGCATGACAGTGATGTTTTATTATTTACTGATACAGTGGGTGACACTAAAATGAGCATTACCGCCATTCCCTGTACTGTCGGCGCTCTAAATGAGTAAGAACGTATTTTTTAGGTATGACTGCAGTTTGTGACTATGCGGCCAGGGGGCACAAGAGGACGAGATACGAACAGATAGAAATAGCCCATACAGTATACAGTAGCTGTAAATACTCTGCTACTTATAAATGTAGATGAAACAATGAAACAAAGCATTATAATCCCTTTATTAATCATCAAGCTGAACTGCCGCTCTAGGCAGAGGACGATCACGCCGCCCTCAACCCCAATGTGAAAACGAAAGTGACCGGTTATGAAAATGAAGTGAGGTGTTGCGGACCTCTACTCTGCCGCCCTATGCGCGGATATAACTGAGAATGCGCGGGTGTTGAGGGAGGGAGGGAGGGATGTGTCGCGGACACCGCGCTCTCTATTCTGCCGCCCTATGCGCAAATACATATGTTGCATTTATTTATGTATTTTATATAATTACAGACGTTACAGTAGGCTATTTCACATCATTAATCTGCAGTTATAATCAAATTATGTTCATAGGAAAGTTAGAAATAAACATTTATACAGAAGTTTTTATGTTTGTAAAGCATCTGTTTTGTAAGAAGTGCTTCTCATAGGATATGTTAACGTACAGCTTTTTCTCAAGCGAAAATGACGATGACTGAAACTTTCTGTTGTACACCTGGTACCCTTTTAGCAGTGGAAACGCAAGCCTGATAGAGGTGACCTGTACTGTATCAGTCAGTTGAAACGGGCCAATAGAGTATCGTCTTATCTAGTATTGTGAAAGCTGAAAATCTGTGGTTAAAGCGCCACCTAGTGGTCAAAAGCTGCAGGCGCACCTACCTCCTCCACGGCGGTGGCAAGAACGGCGGCAGAGGGAACATAATGACGTGGTGACATCTGTATATCATAGCGGAGGAGGCACTAATTGTGACTGTCCAGAATACCCCAAGTTATATGAGGTATCTTCATGTCCTTATCATAGCATATTGTTTTTTTTATTTACTATGGTTACTATACTGTGGTTATTACATCACGTTCATAATATCGCATAACATGGACCTCGCACTGCGCTTTTTTAAAACCTATTCCTGAGCGCCGCATCAAGCGTTTTTAGAAGCAAAAACACATTCAGTGTGAATGACCCTTAACATGTTTGACAATAAATAGCCTAATTTAGTCTTCAGACAATTGGTTTTGTGAGGAACCACACTGCAAACACAACATTCATTTATTTTCCTTCAGCTTAGTCCCTTATTTATCAGGGGTTGCCACAGCGGAATGAACCGCCAACTATTCCAGCATATGTTTTACACATCGGATGCCCTTTCAGCTGCAACCCAGTACGGGGAAACATCCATACACTCTCATTTACTCGTACACTACGTCCAATTTAGTTTACCCAATTCACTTATAGTGCATGTCTTTGGACTGTAGGGGGAAACTGAGGCACCTGGAGGAAACTCAACACAGGGAGAACATGCAAACTCCACACTGAAATGCCAACTGACCCGGCCAGGACTTGAATCAGCAACCTTCTTGCTGTGAGGTGACAGTGCTAACCACTGAGCCACTGGACTCAACAATCGGAAATATTCTTAAAAGGCACACTAAAAGCTTAAATAATAAATAATTAAAATCGCAGTATTGCGAAGTGCCCATGATAGCAACATCAAGCATGTGTTTATCCTCACAACACATTTTATTATTGCATATCAGCACACGTCTTGTGTACAATCCTATCATCACTACTGAGTGAGTGTGCTTTTCTGTAGCCCATGGCGCTACACGCTGTCTGAAAAGACCCTCCATTATAAAAGGGGAAAAAGATGACAGAAGAATGACTAAAAGAGAAGGGGGAAGGAGAGGCTTAATGGAGCTGACCTAGAAACGCACTGCTTCACCACACACACACACTCACAAATATGTTCCCTGGACCCCTGTGCGCCATGTTGTCATGGTAACGCTGTGGATGGTTTTCTAGCCTGTTCATCTACAATTAGCATATTTGAGCAGTCACCACCTCACAACTGCATCTCAAACAAAACACACACCTTTCATTGTTGTTATGACATGGTCCAATCATAAGACTTCTATAAATAGCCTGGAGCAACAATGAGGCTGATCTGAGGCGGTGTGAGGGGTTTTGGGTTAGTTGACGGAGCTGCCATTTACTTTACAGAACTAGAAGCTTCATCTTATGTTTGTTGATCATGTATTTGTTTGTTGTTGGCCTTGCTTACAAACATAAAATGATTATATGCATTATATTCTTAAATGGTGAACCTACTGATTTTAAAAAATCAGGTGCGATGGGTAAAAAATATGTTGAAAATGACAATAATCTGTTTCTGTTGAAATTTCAAGAATGATTCGTGAAGCAAATAAATAAATAAAAATAAATTTTAAAATAATTAAAAATAATAATAGTTATTAAATTAAAAAAAAAAAGATATTATAATATGAATATTATTAATAAAATAAAAATAAAATTAGACAATTAATACATTTTAGACGTGCTGTATACATTATTAAAATGAACTAACAATTGTCATTGTAACATTAGCATTTATTTTTAATAATAATGAATTAAAACCCATAATATTTTAAACCCTTTCATGTTCACCAAGGATGCATTCACTGTAGGGCTGCATTCACTGTAGGGCTGCACAATATGATCGTTCGCAGTAGACACATCGTGAGTATACGCAGGGTTGAGTCTGGATTATAATTGATCATTTAACAAGTGTTTTTTTTTAGGCCCGTTACTGTGTGAGGGTTTTAAAAGCATTCAGGCATAAGAAATTGTACCAACTTTGACAAATTAGTAACAATTAATTATACTATGCTGTATTATTTTTAATTTCATTATCCAATGTCTATACACCTTAATACAGTTCGATTACACAGAAAACTATAAAATGCTGTTTATTTAATTTGAATCTTTTTTTATTTAGTTTATCGGTGCTTGTATATTGTTTAATATATTTTATGGACTCCTCTAAATAATCATCCAAATCAATCTAAAATAATACATTCGTTCCAAACTGTTTTTCAACTCATTTAGTGAAATTGTATTCCTATCAAAATATATCTTGCAGAATAAATAAATATATTGCATTATTTCATAGGCCTATTTTACTGTATGATCAATACAGAAATACATAATATTACAGCTTAAATTAACTTTGTTCTATTTTAATAAATCTTAAAATGAAATTTATTCCTGTGAGGTCAAAGCTGATTTTTCAGCATCATCACTCCAGTATTCAGTGTTACATGATTCATTATTATTAATGTTAAAAACAGCTGTGCTGCTTAATTATTTTGGAAACTAGAATACCTTTTTAACCACTTTTAAACGAAGTTTCAAAACAGCATTTGTTTGAAACTGCACTCTTTTGTAACATAAATGTCTTTTCTGCTGGTTTTAAAATATTTTATGTGCATAAAAAAAAACTTTTATTAACTTTGAACTTATTTCAAAAAGTGTACATAATCTGTATAAATTAATAAAAATACAAATAAATACAAATGAATGAATTATATATCCTAAACATATTTTCTTGTGAACATGCTTTAATTCATAACATAAAAATAAAAATGTTAATGCATTTTATCAACATATTGAACAAATTGAAGCAAGGGAAACATTTTTTTAGGTATGATTTTGCTGAATAAACTTAAAAATAGCACTTTTAGTGTTCGCGTGAGCTGCCATAATGTACTGCAAACTTTATTTCATAACTTGAAAATAAAAAGTTGCATTTTTTCTATGTGTGCTAAAACATTTTTTTTTTTAACTGTCCAATTTTTGGGGAGATGGTGCCACTGAAAATGTTAGCATTGCAAACGAGAACAGAAACAAATCATATTAAAAATATATTTCAGAAAATCAAGAACTTTTTAGGTAAGATTCTGATGAGTAAAACAGTTAAAAAGAGCACTTTTACAATGTTTGCATGAACTGCCATATTGTTGTCCTTGTAGATGCTTGAACCTGCACTGCAAAAAACAGCACTCTTTACTAAAAATGAGTGTGCCAGAAAGAGTTACCTAGTAAAGATGTCTGTTGATATCATCTCTAGGTACTGTAAGGCATCAGTAATTTGATGCACAGCCTCTTCTCTCCTCAGGTCCGGCTGGATGAGAGGAACAGAGTACACCTGTCCCTCCAGGTAACGCTTCTGTGTCATCCTAAACACACAAACGCAGACAAGTGAATCATTTAATCTGAAAAATGTTTCCCTATATTAAGCCTAAAGCATTAAAAGAAAGCTTTAAAATGAAATTAAGATGCATTTCTACACTGTTTGCAACCCAAATGCTACTACTGAGGTAAAGTTGGTTTTATATTCACACATTCAGACTTTTTCCTTAATAACTGAATCATTCAATCTGTGAAAGAACGCATCTATCCTAAGCTTAAAGTATTAAACAAAGTATTAAAATAAAATTAAAAAGCATTTCTACACTGTTTGCATCCTAAATGCTATTACTGAGGTAAAGTTGGTTTCATATACAGACTCGCGTTAATAGAACCATACAATCTGTGAAAAAGTATTAAAACAAAGTATTAAACTCATTTCGACACTCTTTGAAACCAAAACACTATTCTTGAGCTAAAGTTGGTTTTATATTTGCATAATATTCAGACTCTCTCCTCAATAACTGAATCATACAATCTGTGAAAAAGTGTCTTTATACTATGCTTAACGTATTAAAAATAAATTAAAAACACATTACTACACTGTTTTGAAACCGAAAATCTATTACTGAGGTAAAGTCGGTTTTAAATTCTCACATTTAAACTTTCTCCTTAAAAATAGAGTCATACAATCTGTGAATGTGTCGTTATACTGTACAAAGTATTCAAATGCATTACTACATTTTTTGCATCCTAAATACGATTACTGAGGTAACGTTGTTTTTATATTCACACATTTAGACTTTCTCCTTAATAACCGAATCATTTAGTCTGTGAAAATGTGTCCCTATACTAAGTATTTAAACGAAGTATTAAAATCAAATTAAACCACATTTTTAATAGAGGTAAAGTTGGTTTATATTCGCACATTCAGACGTTCCCCTTTAATAATTTCATAAAAGTAATACTTGCAAACTTTAAATAGCGAAAGCATATTAGCTGCCAATGACTATCAAAGTGCAACATTGTTCACAGTCAAATAAACAGTGTTAATGTTGTTTTCAAGTCATACTTGCATGCTAATTCCGATCTAATATTCAAAGTAACATGGTAAACAATATACAGAGTTTTAAATTAACAAATGTGCGAATATAAAAGCAATTTTACCTCTATACATTTCTACACTGTTTGCAACCCAGATAGTTTTACTGAGGTAAAGTTGGTTTTATATTTGTAGATTCAGACTTTCTCCTTAATAACTAAATCATACAATCTATGAAAAGGTGTCCCTATACTATGCTTAAACTACTAAATCAAAGTATTAAAGTGAAATTAAAGCATTACTACACTTTTTGCAACCCAAATACTACCACAGAGGTACAGCTGGTTTAATATTATCAAATTCAGACTTTCTCCTTAATAATATAGTTTCAGAAAAGTATTATCTTTGCTAATTATAAATAGGGGAATCGCAGATACACGTGTCACACATCTGAATCCAATCTATAATATCTGATCTAATACAGAAACACAAACACTAATTCAGAAACTAAACCGAGAGGCTTTACCAAATGACAGTCACATGATAAGTCAACATATTCTTGGATAAAGGTGTATAAACAGTGTTTTGTTGTGTATAGCAAAACATACTCCTTAAAACAGTGTATAATAATAATAATATAACAGCTATATTAAAACATCAGCTGATTTCGACACTGATCTGCATCACGCGACCATCCGGTGTAAAACAAAACAAAACACAGCGACCAGACATTGACGGAGGATTTTAAGACATCAGTTTTCATATTGCTGGCTATAAAATAACAGTAAGTAGACGGTGATACTCTACCTGACCATTTAAGTGCAAAATGCATCAACGTTCGGGTTCGCGAAAGCGCTCGGCACTGTCTTTCAAGATGAAAACTTCCGCACAGACGTAGCACGTGACTTCTGACGTTGGCGCGTAACTGGAGAGACGTCAAATAATACAACACCAACACACAAATCATATTTGCTATAATTCTGTCTGTTGTAAACCCAAAATTACATTTAAAAGGTGTTGGGCTGAATGATAAAACATGTACTAAAAACATATTCGTATTATTTTTCAGAAGCAAAATAAAATGACTCCTAGAGACAAATTTTCCTGGAAGTCTATTACAGTTAATATTAATTGGAAAAGAGTCTAACTCCCTTCAAATACACTATTAATAATAAAATTGAGGAAATTCATTTTAAAATACTACATTCAATTTGCCCAGTAAAATCGTTATTATCAAAGTACATTGAAATGGAGGATATCTGGTCTGCAGTGTGGAAAAAGAGAGCCTTTGCCATTTATTGTTTAAATGCAACGTTGTAAACAATTTCTGGAAGGATCTAGCCAAATATACTTTTTAAAAGTACAAAACTTATTATTCCTTCCTTCCTTCCTTCCTTCCTTCCTTCCTTCCTTCCTTCCTTCATTCATTCATTCATTCATTCATTCATTTATTCATTTTCTTTTCGGTTTAGTCCCTTTATCAATCTGGGATTGCCACAGTGCAATGAATTGCCAACTTATCCAGCACGTTTTTACGCACCCGATTCCCTTCATGCAACCCATCACAAGGAAACATCCATGCACACACTCATTCACATGCGGACAATTTATTCTACCCAAATCACGTATGTCTTTGGACTTGTGGGGGAACCAAAGCACCCAGAGGAAACCCATGCCGACATGGGGAGAACTTACAAACTCCACACAGAAATGCCAATTGACCCAGCCAAGGCTCAAATAGACCTTCTTCTTCTTCTTCTTCTTCTTCTTCTTCTTCTTCTTCTGTGAGGTGAATGTGCCTCTGCGCCACCGTGCAGCCTTCATTAAAATATATTATTTTTTATTATGAAAACAAATCCAACAAAAGTCTTGAATATATTGTTAATTTCTTCATTTTATAGGCAACATTGTACATACACAAACAGGAATTTCCTAAGTCATCTCCCACATTAACAGTTTTTTTTTGTATCGAGTTTTACATCTTTATTTACTGTGAAATTGTTGAAAAGTAAAAAATCTGAGATATTTATCAATTATTATAACACTTTATATATAATTTATTTATATATAATTATATATAATATATAATATTATTTATATTTTAAAGATACAAATTTGTCTATATAAAACTTATCCATATTAATACCTCAAGGGTACATATTAGTACCTAAAAAGTACAAAAGTGTTCCTAGGTACTAATATCTACTGTTGAGGTACCAATATTGACCCTTTAAGTACAAACATGTACCTACTGAAAAGCTACCACCCCAGTGACAGCTTGCATACCTTTATTTCTGAGAGTGTATGAACATGTTAAAATAATTGTTAATGAATGTAAACAAGGCGAGGCAGTGGCGCAGTAGGTAGTGCTAAGGTCGCTGGGTCACTGGTTTGAACCTCGGCTTAGTTGGCGTTTCTGTGTGGAGTTTGCATGTTCTCCCTGCGTTCGCGTGGGTTTCCACCGGGTGCTCCAGTTTCCCTCACAGTCCAAAGACATGCGGTACAGGTGAATTGGGTAGGCTAAATTGGCCGTAGTGTATGAGTGTGTGTGTGTGTGGATGTTTCCCAAAGATGGGTTGTGGCTGGAAGGGCATCCACTGCGTAAAAACCTGCTGAATAATTTGGCGGTTCATTCCGCTGTGGTGACCCCGGATTAATAAAGGGACTAAGCCAACAAGAAAATGAATGAATGTAAACAACTTTCAAAAGTCCACTTGTGTGTAAGTTAATTACATATGACAGAACATTTTTTATGTTTGCATTTCTTTTCATATTTGTTATTTTTGACATTATTTATTATTATTATTTTACTTATTATTTACTTATTTATGCAGTTATTTATTTATGCATTGATGCTTTGGCATTGCTTACTGAGAGACTGTCATGCTAATAATCCTTTTGCAAATGAGGCATTCATTTGGTAACTAAGCAACAGAAATCTAAATCTGTAACAATAAAGGCACTGAGCACTCCGTATTCATGCTGAACATATTTCTATACATTTGCATGGTATATGACATGTTAGGCAACTTATTTATTTATTTATGGAAAATATAAGAAGCTATATGGATCCGGGTTGAGATAGGCTACATAAAATTAACAAATTATTGCTAATAATAATAATAATAATACTAATAATAATAATAATAATAATAAATTAACTAATAAAAGTAGATATCCAATTCTTATCGTTGTTATAGGCTATTTAAGAGATGTAATATACCAATGTAAATTTATTTATTTATTTATTAAAGGTCCCATGAAGTGGTGGAACATGGAGTAGCCCCTCCCCTTTAAAAAAGCAGCCAATAGCGTTCTGTTTTTATCATAGCTCTGCCAGTGAGAGTGGTAGAGACCAGATCAAGCGCATCAAATCAAAAGCAAATGAGAAGCGTCTTGAAGGGGGCGGGGCATGTCGGATACTAGAGAGCATTTAATTGGTCAAGATGAGAAACACCCATCTATTTAGGCAGAAGTGACAAACTTTACATGTTTATATTGGTTTTATATCTTCTAAACGCGAATTTTGTCTCTGTTTTGGAGGACACTAATAGATATATTCCTAAAAATTAAATTTAAATTTTTTCATTTTAATTTCACAGGACCTTTAATGGATAAACTACAAATACAAAACAATTATGCCATGGGCAGGCAGGCCTATACAAAAACAAAATATATGATTATACATAAATATAATACTAGCAAATTGAATTTGCGCCTCACAGCGTGCCCCGTGACGTCACTTGCGCACTTGACCCCGCCCCCTTCAATCCCGTGTTTTGACATTCTCGCATCAGCACCACTCCGCGCATCCCTTCATGCGCGCTCTGGGCACGGAGGTGGAGGCGGAGGCGGGGGTCTCTCGCTCTTTCGGTCTCTCTCACTCTCCGTTCAGCCATTTAAACATCAGCCCGTGCAACCGGTGAGGGGAACCGACACCAACGCCACTCCGCCTGGACAGCATCACTCGTCGGCGCTTCACCGGGATGTCGAGCCTCCTGGAGAACCCTCTGCAGGCGGTGCTCTATTTGAAGGAGCTTACCGCCATCGTGCAGAACCAGCAGAGCCTGATACAAACGCAGAGATATCGGATAGACATACTCGAGCGCCGGCTGGAGGATCTAGCGACGGAAAATCGGCAGCTTCGGGACTCCGGCAGCCATCACCGGCACCCTCCGCGCTATCATCCGCCTCCACCCCCCCGGACCTCGAGTTTACCCCGAACCAGCAGAGCCGAGACGCCGCCGGTGCAGAACCAGACCCCACAGCAGCAACAGCAGCAGATCTCCCCACTGGACATGCAGCTCGTGCCTGCTGGACCCAGCACTGCCAGTCCGGACTCTGCTGATGAAGATGAGGAGCTCCAGGACCCCTGCTGTCGCTCCCTTGTCCCGCAGACACCTGCCACCTTGTGCCGAGCTGTGGGACTCCCACGGGCATCCGAGTGAGTGTTTTTTTCCATCACACATGTCATTGAACACAACAAATGAGCCTTTCTTTTGGGGAAAACACGAGATCGGTGAGATGCTGAGGCAGATTACATGCGCAATCGGGATTACATAACAATGTTACTGTATGTAGGCCACCGTGAACATGCAATTGCACATCAATAACAATTGTGGGCAACGTTTCTGTAAAGATATGTGGGTTTGCTGAATTTTTATCAGCGCTTGTATGCATGTGGGTTTAGTATTGAATTAAAGGCACAGTTCACCCAGAAATTAAAACATTTACTCATCATTTACTCACCTTCAAGTAGTTCCTCATACCTTTATGAGTCTTCTTTTTTTCTATTGAACACAAAAGAAGATAGTTAGAAAAATGTACCCTCATTGACCTCCAAAGTAGGAGGAAAAAACACTGGAAGTCAATGGTTTACAACATTTTTCAAAATATCTTCTTTTGTGTTTAACGAAAAGTAAAAAAAGAAAGGTTTGTGACAAGTGAAGGATGAGTAAATGATGATAGATTCTCAGTTTTGGGTGAACTATCCCTTTAACTAGGCTACATTATCTGAAATGCATGAGAAATTATGTACATATTCACTCTTTCCAGGGCAAAAGGTCTGAAGAAAGAGATTTTTAATGCACCTGATTATTTTGCAGCAAGAATGCATTTTTAAAAAGCACTTAAAATACTTTATTGCCAGGGAGCTACGTGGAAACAGTCACACACACTCACACACACACAGATTTATGCGTAAAGTGCGGCTTTAAGTGACATTCCCATAGTGCATGTGAAGCTGATCCGCCAGCTGGAATCTAATCCACACTAAGAGAGAGAAAGAACGGGATACTGACTGAGTGTGTGTGTGTGTGTGTCATCTATTAAGGCTTCTCATCTGCTTCAGTGCACATCTCACGCTGCATGTAGAGTATTCCCTGTGTGCGTGTATATGTGTGTATGTGTGTGTGTGTGTGTGTTATACCCCACAAGCAAAACTGGAGTGATACATTCCCCTCTGATTTGTTTAATGGTGGTATTATCTCTTGCTTTAGGGTAAAAATCACTCAGAGTCTTCAGTCTGAAATGATGTTACCTTATTTTGGTGTTGTTTATGTGACAGAATGCATGTAGTTGTGCTGGAAGTGTGAGACACTCATTGCCAATGAGTTTTAGGGCCCAATTAAGCTCATGCATGCAGCTCATTAAAGGGAATTTCACATCGGCATCTTCAAAGTGTCTTCTTATGACAGGTATATTTTCAGCCTGTTGCATGGGTATTAATGAGGGAAGATGAGTGTTTGTAATAGACTCTTACACTGTAGCTCATCCTGAAATCATCGTTTATTCCCCATCAAATTGCTTTCTTTCATCTGTGGAATGCAAAAAACGAAAATCTTATTTAAACTGAGCTGAAATGACAATTTCTGAGGTGTTTTTGGGACAACTTTGTTGTAAAACAAAAATGTTCAATCCAGTTAAAGGTGCAGTAGGTGATTGTCTTCGGAAGCATGTTTTGGTTGTGCTGGTTGAAAGTTTCTTCACATTCCCATATAGTAATTATTAAAGTAAATGATCTAAATGTATCAATATGTGTTTTATATTCTGGTTAAGGCATAAGAATAATATATGTTCATCCAACTAAATATTGTCGGGCTGATGATTCTCATAATTCTGTGGCCCAAAGAAATGTAGATTTGTACATCTGAGCACTCGTTCACGTATAGATCCGCCATTTGCACGTGCACGTGTGCCGTGTTCATGATGCGCACACGAGAGAGTTACAGCAAACAGCAAATGCTCGATCACAACTTTTTAAATTCCTGAAGTTGCTTTTGCACGCTGGAGGAAGGACGACACCATGGCTGAAGTATTTCTATTAGACAGGTAATGTTATGTTTTAATAGTCCTTTAGTCATGCAACGCTCAAGTAGATTGCGTTGTGTTATCAGGGCCGGATTTAACCAATAAGCGAGGTCCCCAATAAATATCTAGAAGTATAAATTATACTTATAAACAATATATAACATTGTTTTCTACCATATATTGTATGGTGAGAGTGACATAAAATGTTAACGTAATGAAATATTATTTAATATAAATAAAAATATAATATTATAATGATTTAATTTTATGTTATAATAATATCATAAAATAAAATATAATAATTATTACATCTGCACATATTTGTCCACCACAACCCAATCATAGAGCAGTATATATAATATATCTTTAATATTTTTGGTTGTAAATTCATTTTAAGATAACTAATCATTTAAAAAGTAGAGATTGCATTAAGATAGAACAAAGATAAAAAAACATCTAAATAAAAGTATAAGGGTCCATTTTAGGACTTAAGGGCCCAAAATGTCCCAAAACACTTTTAAAATGTTCTGGTTTTAATGGTTGGCAATCTTTTATTATTATTATTATTATTTATTCATTTCCTTTCGGCTTAGTCCATTTATTAATCTGGGGTCACCACAGCGAAATGAACCGCCAACTTATCCAGCATATGTTTTACGCCGCGGATGCCCTTCCAGTTGCAACTCATTTCTGGGAAACATCCATACACACTATTCACACTCATACACTATGGATAATTTAGCCCACCCAATTCACCTGTACCACATGTCTTTGGACTGTGGGGGAAACCGGAGCACCCAGAGGAAACTTATGTGAACGCGGCGAGAACATGCAAACTCCACACAGAAACGCCAACTGACCCAGCCGAGGCTCGAACTTCTTGCTGTGAGGCGATAGCACTACCTTCTGCGCCACCGCATCGCCCATTATTATTACTATTATTATTTTTAGTAGTAGTAGTAGTTTGTAAACTTTAAGACGTCTGTGATAGCCTAGATTATTTTGTTTTGTTTTGTTTCAACAGAGAAATAAAATAAAATTAAGACATGTCTGTGAGAAAATTGCATTTATAATTAATCACATTAATTACATTCAGATGCATTGATTCATTTTGCAGCTCTAGTGGATTCTAGTTTACAAAGTAAGTGAAAATTAAAAAAAGAAAGTAGATAGGGTGCATTTTAGGACTATTGGGCCCCATGGCTGGAATTGCTTACGACCCCCAAATCATTAAATCCACCCCTGTGTGTTATGACGGGGTTATATGCACAGAAGTGTTGTTCAGCCACTGAAATCTCCTGGTGAAAGACTGATGTGACTATTTTCAGTTTCATAAGGACTTTTTACAGCATCGATAATATAAATTTATATTTAGTTTAACAACAAAACATCAGTGAACAGCGCTATTCTGCCTAGCCTGCTTTACTGAGCTGAAGTTGCTTTTATATTCACATTGGGTCATTTTTGAACAATGGCAGCATGTGATGTGCTCCATATACTGTATTGTTTACCATGCTACTCTGAATATTCACTCTGAAATAGCATGTAAGCAGGACTCAGTGATAAGTGCAGTTCCTGCACGCCGCTGGCCAACCACTAAGCATGAAGTAGTCACTTTAGGACAAAGCATGTGAGAGAGTTAGACACTCAGTCCTTTCATGCATGAAACATTGCACATTATGACAAGTTTTGCTTATACACATCTGAAAACGTGCTAGATATAATACAGTTTTTCATTCAGATTTGTAGCATTATAAAGTATTATTAAGTTTTCTAACTGGCGAATGACATGATCTAGTGGGTCTCTGTCATCTTTAATGAGCGCGTTCGTGTTTCAGGAAGCGTGGATTTGGACAGCAGGGGAGTGACTGTGTTTTCAAAGCTATTATACTAACGGATAGCATTTAGGCAGATCACCTACTGCACCTTTAAATTTGTAACTGTAAACTTAATCGATTATGTGTTTGGACAACATGAAGGAATTGAGTGAAATCCTACATTTTCTTACAGTGAAGATCATATTTCCATCAAGAAAGCAGCTGGGAATTGTACTCGCACAACAGAATATTGCATTAATAATGAAAATCGCACAATAGCAGGACTGCACAGAAGTGATATGCAAATACGATTGTATTAATAGCTCTGCTCCAGTGAGAAGTAAACATATTTGATGTGCTGTCAACAGTGGAGGACTCATTTTCAGGAGGACTCTTTATTTAGGGACTGAAGTATTTTAAACATTATTGAAGAAGAAACACCAACTGATCCAGCCGAGCCTTGAAGCAACAACCTTCGTGCTGAGGTGACAGCACTACCTACTGCGCCACTGCATTGCCATATTTTATAAATATAATACTATTAATTAAGAGGTGGTGCAGTGGCTCAGTGGTTAGCACTGTTGCTTCACAGCAAGAAGGTTGCTGGTTCGAGCCCCGGAGGGGTCAGTTGGCATTTCTGTGTGGAGTTTGCATGTTCTCCCCGTGTTGGCGTGGGTTTCCTCTGGGTGCCCTAGTTTCTCTCATAGTCCAAAGACATGTGCTATAGGTGAATTGAATAAGTTAAATTGGCCCTAGTGTATGTGTGTTAATCCAAGAGTGTATAGGGGGGTTTCCAGGTGTTGGGTTGTGGCTGGAAGGGCATCCGCTGCCTACAAACATATGCTGGATAAGTTGGTGGTTCATTCCACTGTTAAGACCCCTGATTAAAAGGACTAAGCCGAAAAGAAAATGAATGAATGAATGAAATTAAGAGGTGGCACGGTGGCTCAGTGGTCACAGCAAGAAAGTTGCTGGTTCAAGTCCCGGCTGGGCCAGTTGTCATTTCTGAATAAAATAAACATCCGTTTTTTAATCCCTGCGAAGGGAAACTCATTTGCCACCATTAACACCGACATCACAATACAATTATTATTAAACAACAAATAGCACAAAAACACAACACATTAGAGAACAGTACAACAACACACCATTGCATCCACTACACATCACAACACAGTAAATAACTGAAAAAAAAACCCCAAATAAATTACACCACGGACATCACAGTGGTGCAATGGGTAGCACAATCACTTCACAGCAAGAAGGTTGCTGGTTCGAGCCCCGGCTGGGTCAGTTGGCATTTCTGTTTGGAGTTTGCATGTTCTCCCCGTGTTGGCCTGGGTTTCCTCCAGGAGCTCCTGTTTCCCCCCAATCTAAAGACAAGCGCTATAGATAAATTGGGTACGCTAAATTGGCCGTAGTGTAAGTGAGTTTGTGCAAGAATGTATGGGTGTTTTCCAGTGTTGGGTTGCGGCTGAAAGGGCATTCGCTGCATAAAACGTGCTGGATAAGCTGTCGGTTCATTCCGCTGAGGCGACCCCTGATTAATAAAGGCACTAAGCCGAAAAAAAATGAATGAATGAATGAAATTGTCCATAGTGTGAATGTGAATGCGAGAGTGGATGGGTGTTGCCAGTGTTGGGTTGTGGCTGAAAAGCACACACTGTGTAAAACATATGCTGGATAAGTTGGCAGTTCATTCCACTGTGGCGACCTCAGATGAATAAAGTGACTAAGCCGAAAAGAAAATGAATGAATGAAATGACACCACTTCGTTAAAAAGCAGTTGGGTTGGGATAAAGGACCTTCTGAATGAGCACCGGGGCATTAATAATAATAATAATAATAATAATAATAATAATAGTAACAATAATAATAATAATACCTTTTATTTTTAGGCGCCTTTCAAAGCACTCAAGGACACCTTACAGCACATTACAAGTACATCATAAAAATACAAGCATTAGACTCTCACTGAATGAGCTCTTAAGTGTTCTAAAGGTATTATTTAGTGGATGTCCTCCAAAATGATCCTTAATTTAGCCCTTGTTTTCTTTTTTACAGTCACCTCAAGTGAATCGGGATTAAAATAAAAAAAAGTTTTATAAAATAATTGTAAACTGCTTTCATTCTAGCCGAAATAAAACAAATAAGACTTTCTCCAGAAGAAAAAAACATTATAGGAAATACTGTGTAAATCCCTTGCTCTGCTAAACATCATTTGGGAAATATTTGAAAAAGAAATTCCCAGGAGGGCTAACCATTCTGATTTCAACTGTATGTAAATAACATGGATTTCCACCTTTCCAGGAGTCAGACGGTCCTGCACCAGTTCTGCTGTCCAGCCCCTGAAGCCCCAGAAGGAGAGTCCAGCACCACCTGCTCCAGGTGAGAACAACACCTTAATGAGACAATCAGACGAGTGTTAGTCAAGTAAAGTCATGCAGTAAGATGAGTGATGTTAACTGCAGCCGTCTGCATTGGTTAAGTTTTCCAGCATTGAATAGTAGTGGTTTTTTTTTTTTGTTTGAGACCCCTATTCTCTTGGCCTGAGGCTTTCAGGCTGATGGGATTCAAGCTAGCGGAGTGTAAGTGTGTGAGCTGCAGGTGTAGTTTAACCCTGGTCCGTCCTCTGTCTGATAGACTGGAAAACTCTCGGCATGGATAAGCACCGTCACTCAGGTGGAGAGAAAGTGTGTGTGTGTTTGTGTATGTATGTGTGCTTGTGCGTGTGTGTGTGTGAGTGTGAATGTGGCAGCTCTGCACTATTTTAGGAACTTCAAACCATCTGAGCTTTGTTGAGCGCATATTTTATGCTGTCAACAAATCCAGGTCTAAACAGATATTCCAAATGAAACAGCAGTAACTGTGAGCACAGTAAACACAAAATATACGCTTTTTTGTGTTAAAAAACATTTACAACTTTTTATTTCTAGGGAAAATAGTGACTCAATTGTTGAAAAACAGGAAAAAGAGGCAAGGTGATCAAGAAAACAGAGCAAATTTAGTTTTATTAATTATATATGCATGTATACTTATAGTTGCCGGTCACTTTATTAGGCACACCTGTCCAACTGCTTGTTAACGCAAATTTCTAATCAGCCAATCACATGGCAGCAACTCAATGCATTTAGGCATGTAGACATAGGTACAAACCGAGCATCAGAATGGGGAAAAATGATGTAAGGGACTTTGAATGTGGCATGGTTGTTGTTGCCAGAAGGGCTGATCTGAGTATTCAGAAATTGCTGATCTACTGGGATTTTCACACACAACCATCTCTAGGGTTTACAGAGAATGGCTCTAAAAAGAAAAAATAACGAGTGGGTGAAAATGCCTTGATGATGCCAGAGGTTAGAGGAGAATGGCCAGACTGGTTTGAGCTGATTGAAGGCAACAGTAACTCAAATAACCGAGGTTTGTTACAACTGAGGTCTGCAGAAGAGCATCTCTGAACACACAACACGTCCAACCTTGAAGCGGATGGGCTACAGCAGCAGAAGATCACACCGGATGACACTCCTGTCAGCTAAGAACAGGAAACTGAGGCTACAATTCTCACAGGCTCACCAAAATTTGACAATAGAAGATTGGAAAAACGTTGCCTGGTCTGATGAGTCTCAATTTCTGCTGCGACATTCAGATGGTTGGGTCAGAATTTTGCATCAACAACATGAAAGCATGGGTCCATCCTGCCTTGTATCAACAGTTCAGGCTAGTGGTGGTGTAATGGTGTGGGGGATATTTTCTTGGCACACTTTGGCCCATTAGTACAAACAGAGCATTGTGTCAATGCCGCAGCCTACCGGAGTATTATTGCTGACCATGTCCATCCCTTTATGACCACAGTGTACCCATCTTCTGATGGTTACTTTTAGCAGGATAACGCAACATGTTATAAAGAGGTCATATTTTTTACAGTGCAAACACATGCGCAATAGGTGAATTGAAGGAACTAAATTGGCCATAGTGTATGAGTGTGAGAGTGTATTGTTGTTTCTCAGTACTGGGTTGCAGCTGGAAAGGCATCTGCTGCATAAAACATATATGCCGGAATGGTTGGCGGTTCATTCTGCTGTGGCAACCTCTGACATAGAAACCTAGCCGAAGGAAAATTAATGAATGAATAAACCCTATAGGTATACGTAACCGTTAGCCTGAGAAAGCTGTACTAATGAAGTTAACCACATCTATTGATGAACAGGAAAGTGTTCATTTGTGCAGAAAGCCTATTGTGATTATGCGCCAGTTATTTCCCAAATGGTTTAGTGAGAGGGTATTAAGGAGAATATATAAGCATGCAGTAGTTTCTCACCTCGTGTTTGTAGAAAACAACTGTCTGGGTTTTGTTTTATGATGCTGAAACCTGTCGTCTTGCACAATCTGCATGAAAGAGAAAGCATGTTTATTTGGAGTTATATCACGGGAAATAACATCAAACTATTCGCTGCATGCACCGGTTCACTTAAGGGGAGACACTGCAGGCGAAAACACTGTTGTTTCACGCATCTGTCAAGTATTTTCTGGTTTTCATAGTACAGTCTAATGGAAGGGTTTTCAAAAAAAGAAAAGCCTGTCATCATTTACTCTTTACTGGTTGAACACAAAAGAAGATATTGTTCACACTTTATTTTGATGGGCCGTTTGTTGAATTTTATTTAATTATTAATTATAAGTAGGCTGTTGGGTTGCGGTTAGGGTTAGTGTAAGTTGACGTCTAAAAAACGTTGTAATTTATTTAACCCAGTGGTTGAGTTAAGCATATTTGGTGCTTTGTTGGGTTATTTTTAACCTTTTTTGGGTTATTTATTAATAGCCCCTTTCACACAGTGATACCGGTAAATATCTGGAAAATTTCCGGAACAACTTTACCGGTATATTAAAAAAAAAGCGCTGTTCACACAGGCGAGGACGTTACGGAATTTTTCCGGAAAAGAGCATTCACACATCCATTCCAAAATACCGGTAAATTCTGACATCATTCACCACAAATGAGCTTTTAAACGGCTTCGCTTGTATTTGTAAACATTTGACTAAATTACAAACTCTGTGGATGATCAATATTGTGAACAACTTTCGCAGGATCACTTTCTCATGTCGAGATGTTCATAATATGTGCGTGTGCAGGCGCTCACAGGCTGTTTCAAAGGCACACGCAAAGCTTAAAGGTAAACAAACAACGGCTTATCATAAGCATGTCATCGATGATTATTTACACAGTTGGCATTAAGAAGAACATATAAACGTGATCTGACTAACTTCTAGCAGCTAAATGTGTCTGGAAAAATATTCAAAGGTTTTTATTCTCACAAACCGCGCGGACGTAAATGCTTCTGACTGTTGTGATTGGCTAAAGCAGACGTCTCACGTCAGCACGTTCTACACGTGCACGCGCTTATTACGGCAATCTTCCTTCTGCATTCACACAGCGCAGCATTCCGGCAAATTGCCGGTAATGTTACAACTTCTCTTTCCGGAAAATAGCCAGAACGAATTTACCGGTATTTTCAAAAAGGACCTGTTCACACATACAAGCTTTCCGGAAAATTGCCGGCAATTTTCCGGAAAGGTCTGTATGTGTGAAAGGGGCTATTGACTCAACCAGTTGAGTTAAACATTTGGTGCTTTGTTGGGTTATTTTTAACCTTTTTTGGGTTATTTATTAATGACTCAACCAATTGAGTTAAATATTTGGTGCTTTGTTGGGTTATTTTTAAACTTTATTTGGTTATTTGTTTAATAACTCAACCAGTTGGGTTAAAATTTTGAATTCCAACAGTCAACTGATTTAACTGACACAACAGCCGTATATATGGGTGCTTAATGTTTTTTGCGTTATAAAGTTTATTTATAACGCAATAATGTTGTTATTTTTTTTTTTTTTATCAAATTACCTTCGTGTCGTGGTTTTTATATCCGTTTTTCCATCCAAAACCATCTTTTAGAATCGTTTGGATGTGGTTAAAATGTATTGTACATTGTGGACACTGAGTGCAGCCTGCTGCAGCTGCTGGACAGCCTCTACAGCACACAGAGCTCCATATTCTGCTCCATCAACACATGATTTTCCGCTTGCACAGTTTATAACTGTCTGCACTTTGTTCGGTTTCTTCATCGTTTGTGATTCTTGATTTATTTTAACAAATGTGTCTGGAACTAAAATGTAATTGAAATGAAGCATTTTTTATATTTTTGAAAAGTGAATGTTATTTATTTACCCAGCCATAATTATTAAATGAATAGTAGTATCAGTAATAGTAGCAAGAGTAATACAAGAATAAAAAAAATAAAAAATTAAAATAATCCAATGCATTGAGTTTAATTATATAACCCAATGCACTGAGTTAAAATAACGAATAGTTGGTAAGGTGCTCCAATAACCTATGGTTGGGTTCTTTGTTGGGGTATTTTTAACCCAACTATCTTAAAAGAGTGCAAAGGTTTTATAGTCAGTTAAATGTTTGTTGCAGAAGCAGTATTAACAGATTTTAAGACTGTCTACAAATACTCAAATGGTTTCTGTGTGGAGTTTGCATGTTCTCCCTGCGTTTATGTGGGTTTCCTCCATGTGCTCTGGTTTCCCCCACAGTCTAAAGACATGTGGTACAGGTGAATTGGGTTTTCTAAAGTGACCGTAGTGTGTGTGTGTGTGTGTGAATGTGTGTGTGTGGATGTTTCCCAGAGATGGGTTGCGGCTGGAAGGGCTTCCGCTGTGTAAAAACTTGCTAGATAAGTTGGCGGTTCATTCCGCTGTGGCAACCCTGGATTAATAAAGGGATTAAGCCGACAAGAAAATGAATGAATGAATGTGTTTAGCAGAAGAAAGAAACTCGAACTGTTTAAAACCACATGAGGGAGGGTAAATGATAAAGTAATTTTCATTTTTCAGTGAACTTTAAAGGTTCACAAAACCCTCGAGTACTTTTTTGAGATTTTAACAGAGTGTGTTGAGCATCAGTTGAGACAGTGGTCACCAATCTCGGTCCTGGAGGGCCGGTGTCCCTTCAGGGTTTAGCTCCAACTTGCCTCAACACACCTGCCAGGGTGTTTCAAGTATACCTAGTAAGACCTTGATTAGCTTGATCAGGTGCATTTGATTAGGGTTGGAGCTAAAATCTGCAGGACACCGGCCCTCCAGGAACAAGTTTGGTGACCCCTGAGTTAAGACAATGTTAGCACCTGTTAGCTTTAATTGTGGGGAAAACGCTAATTTTGAGCTTTTGTCAGCTAATTTTAGCTTCTGGATTTAAAATGATTTTTGAGGCGGGATCAAAATCGGCGATGTAGCGCAAAACTGCAAGTGCAAAGATGACGTGTCGGTTACTCATTATTATTCATATCGTTTTTTTCGTATCCTATGAGAAGAGCCTGCTTCTTAATTATTCATGACTGCACGTGCTTTCTGAAGGCAAGGCAGACCTGTCAGTGCCAAGCTGTGAGACACGAACCCACGGCACACAGTATTTAGCTGTTCATGAAGGCTCGTATGTGTTTGTTTCTATGATCCACAGGGTTTGTTGCATGTTTTTTCCGCAATGCTGTCAGGGCCGATACAGCAAAGCTGTTTGTGTGCAGTAAGCATTTTTGTCAGGAGAGCAGTACGAGAATTAGAGAATGGCGAACGTTGTGTTTTATCAGGAGTTCGTTCACATTAAGACACATCGCTGTGCTGCTGTGTTTGCCTAAATCCTCCAGATTACCAACAGGGCTAATGGTTAAAATAGACAGGGCAAGAGACCTGCTGCACTGAGTCTGCATTCAGACCCGAGGATTGAGGGAGAAGTCCTCATTTATAGTGTTTATATGAACACGATTATCTTTATAATGATATAAATTGTGGTTATGTGTATATGAAATTACGAATAACAAATGTAGCAGGGCGTTAAATTACTGTTTATTTCTTTGCATTTTAACTTTGTAAACTATAAAATCACGGTTTGTGTCTCATTTTGTAAGCTAACTAACAACAGGTGTTCGCTCGCCTCCTTCTCCCCCCTCATGTGTGTGCATGTGAGAGTGTATGGGTGTTTCCCAGTACTGGGTTGCAGGTGGAAGGGCATCCACAGCGTAAAACATATGCTGGATAAGTTGGCGGTTCATTCCGCTGTGGCGACCCCTGATTTCATAAAGGCACTAAGCCGAAGGAAAATGAATGAGTGAATATACAGAAGAGACCCTGATTGTACATTGATTTTACACCCTTATATCAATAGAACTATTAGTTCATTTTATTTAGCCATTTCACCTGCTGTGTCTTGAGATCACATTTCAGCTTGTGTTCTCGGATCAATTGTGCAGCAGACAAATGATCTGTGGAGCGGCGTCTGTTTTCACTCTCTTTTAAGGTTCTGCTGCATTTGTTGTGGTTCCTCGGAGGCGAGCAGTTCTTGGCGCATGAAAGATGGAAAAGCTTGCTCTGTTCTCCTGGCGTTGGAGTGCTCACACAGCTTAAGTGGCCTTTACTCCAGGGCAGCAGCTAATGTGCTGACAGTGAATGCAGTCAGCAGTGTGCCTTGTAAACCCGTGTCTACACCGAGAGAGAGAACCTGGAGAAAATGGAAATGGGGGCAGAGCTGTGTTGTTAAGCAGAAGAGACATACTTTATGACATTCTCATGATTTAAACATCCCACTTCCACTCCCAGATGCTTCTTCATGAGCTCAACATAAGAGGAAATGGCTTTGTCATGCGTGGGCTTATGTAAGATTGTGTGGGTTGTTAGGTTTGATTTTCTAGGCTTGGGTTCAGTTGTATATAAAATATGGGGATTGTGATTTATAATCACTATATGAGTTTATAATGTGATTTATATAAATATATATTTACTATAGGAGTAACCAAATCAAATGCATTTTACATTACAGTTAAATTTTGAGTTGAATCTAATTACCTTTTCTAGTCATTTCTAGAGGGTTTTGGATGCAGACCTGGTGCAGTGCAATCTGAGCTGCATCCAATGCGCTCATCTAACCCCACCCCTAACCCTATCCGTCATAGTGACGTCACTCACTCCATTAAGCGCATTGTATCTGAGAATGCATCGCTGAGTGATGCAATCTCAGCTTGCATCATACAGGCTGCATCCAGATACTAAAAGTCATTTCAACTTACATCAATCAAATTGACTAATAAAAAAAAAATCTATATTTTTATATTAAGATATTTTTATTATAATAATCTTAAGTTTCCCAGAGATAGGTTGCGGCTGGAAGGGCATCCACTGCGTAAAAACCTGCTGGATAAGTTGGTGGTTCATTCCGCTGTGGCGACCCCGGATTAATAAAGGGACTGAGCCGACAAGAAAATGAATGAATGAATGAAAAATCTTAAGTTAAAATTTTAAACTGATTAACTTAGTAAAATAATTTAAAGCAACATACAAATAGGTGGCACGGTGGCTCACAGTCGAGTACCAGCTAGGCCAATTGGCATTTCTGTGTCAAATTTATGTAACCCCGCCGGCCCTACATCACCCAACCCGCTCTGAGCTGGGATCATACCGACGGCCTTCCGCATGGGAGTTGGTTGCTCTACCAAGGAGGCTAAAGACCATGGCCTCTAGCACCTATCGCTAAAGCACCTTGAGTGGTCAGAGGAGTGAGTTTTACCTGCACAGCACTTACTAGCTGGCCTCCGTTACATTTGCATGTTCTGCCAGTGTTAACTGCAGAAAGTCAGCTTTAATTTGTGGGTATTTACATATAAATCAGTTGGACGGTGTAGGAATTAGAACAGTTTGCGTATTTTCCTCTCACTTGTTAAGGCACCAAAAGTAATTGGACAGAATTCATTCATTCATTTTCTTTTCGGCTTAGTCCCCTTTATTATTAATCTGGGGGCGCCACAGTGGAATGAACCATCAACTTATCCAGCAAATGTTTTACGCAGCAGATGCCCTTCCAGCTGCAACCCATCTCTGGGAAAGTAATTGGACAGAATAATAATCATAAATAAAACTTTCACTTTTTTATACTTGGTTGCAAATCTTTTGCAGTCAACTACAGTCTGAAGTCTGGAATGCATAGATAGACATGACCAGATGCTGGCTTTCGTCCCTGGTGGTGCTCTGCCAGGCATCTACAGCAACGGTCTTCAGTTACTACTTGTTCTTGGGGCATTTTCCCTTCAGTTTTGTCTTTAGCATGTGAAATGCATGCTCAGTCGGATTTAGGTCAGGTGATTGACTTGGCCATTGCATAACATTTCACTTCTTTCCCCCAACAGTCCAAAGGCATGCGCTATAGGTGAATTGAATGAGTTAAATTGGCCGTATTGTAGGAGTGTGTGTGAATGTGAGAGTGTATGGGTGTTTCCCAGTATTGGGTTGCAGCTGGAAGGGCATCCAAAACTTGAATCCCCATACCTCTCAGTAAATTTGCAGTTGCGTCCCTGTCCACCACCAGTGTACAGCATCCACTAGGATGATGCGATGGCAGCCATATTGCACCAGACCGCACACCACACACCAGCTGACTGGTGTTGAGAAGAGTGATGATGGACAGAGGCCAGTGGGCAAATTTATCCAGGATGCTGGGGTTAAATCCCTACTTTTTTCGTAGGACATCCTCAAATTTTGAACAACCACAGTTACAACCTCGGCTTAACTTCTCATCTGAAATTAAATTGTGCTTCATCATCCAGTGAGTAGTTTCTGCCCATTAAATGATGATTTGAAAGGATGATCTGAAACCTTCACTCTATTACCGCGAGCCGTTTCCCACGAACACCGTGTTGAATCTGCAACCCGTGAAAGCCTGCGTGTAGTAATTAAGCAGAGTTAATTAGTGGTGAGTGTGCACTGGGTTGTGATCAGTGTAGATTAAAAGCCGGTGAATCTGGGTCAGCCTCTGCTCACTTGTGTCATCTGAACCGCAGCTCCGTTCCTGCTGCAGGAGAAGAACAGAAAGAGGAGAAAAGAGACGACCAGCCTGACGTGCCTCCCTGCTCACACCCACCAGAATATGAGCTCTCTCCTGATCTCAAACAAAAACAGGTACACACACACACACACACACACACACACACACACACACACACACACACACACACACACACACACACACACACACACACACACACACACACACACACACACACACACACACATCTGTCACTGTCTGTCTGCCTATTAATTAATCTGTCTGTCTGTCTATCTGCCTGTCTGTCTGTCTATTAATCAGTCTGTCTGTCTATTAATCAGTCTGTCTGTCTGTCTATTAATCAATCTGTCTGTCTGTCTGTCTGTCCGTTAATCAGTCTGTCTGTCTGTCTATCTGTCTGTACATTAATCAATCTGTCTGTCTGTCTGTACATTAATCCATCTGTCTGTCTGTCTGTACGTTAATCAGTCTGTCTGTCTGTCTGTCTGTCTGTCTGTCTATTAATCAGTCTGTCTGTCTGTCTGTCTGTCTGTCTGTCTGTACATTAATCAATCTGTCTGTCTGTACGTTAATCAGTCAGTCTGTCTGTCTGTCTGTCTGTCTATTAATCAATATGTCTGTCTGTCTGTACGTTTATCAGTCTGTCTGTCTGTCTGTACATTAATCAATCTGTCTGTCTGTCTGTACGTTAATCAGTCTGTCTGTCTGTCTGTACATTAATCAATCTGTCTGTCTGTCTGTACGTTAATCAATATGTCTGTCTGTCTGTACGTTAATCAGTCTGTCTGTCTGTCTGTACATTAATCAATCTGTCTGTCTGTCTGTACGTTAATCAGTCTGTCTGTCTGTCTGTCTGTCTGTCTATTAATCAGTCAGTCTGTCTGTCTGTCTATTAATCAATCTGTCTGTCTGTCTGTACGTTAATCAGTCTGTCTGTCTGCTGTCTGTTCATTCGTCTGTTTATCTATCCATCTGATCATCTTTTCCTGTCTGTATTTCTTTATCTTTCTGTCAATGTGTCTGTCCATCCATCCATCCACCTTTCTCATTCTGTCCATCTGTCTATCCATCCGCCTGTCTATCTTGCTGTCTGTCTGTCTGTCTATGGATCTGTCTGTTTGTCCTACTGTCTATCCCTCCGTCTTTCTCTTTATGCCTGTTTATCTTCCTGTTTGTCTATTTATCCATCTGTCCATCTGTTAATCTTTCTCTATCTGTCCGTCTGTCTATCTTTTTATTTATGTCTATCTTCCTGTCTCTCTGTCTATCCATCTGTCTATCTTTCTCTGTCAGTCAGTCTGTCTGAGTCTGTCTGTCCATCCATCTATCTATCATCCATCTGTCTATCTTTCTCTTTATCCTGTCTGTTTATCCATCTGTCTATCTGTTTATCTTTCTCTTTCTGTCAGTCTATCTGTATCTGAGTAGTGAGTGCAGTGAGTAGTTTCTGCCTATTAAAAGATGATTTGAAAGAATGATTTGAAACCTTCACTCCATTACCTATCTATCTATCTATCTATCTATCTATCTATCTATCTATCTATCTATCTATCTATCTATCTATCTATCTATCTATCTATCTATCTATCTATCTATCTATCTATCTATCTATCTATCTATCTATCATCTATCTATCTATCTATCTATCTATCTATCTATCTATCTATCTATCTATCTATCTATCTATCTATCTATCTATCTATTGTCTCTCTTTCTCTAATCTCTCTCTCTCTCTCTCTCTGTCTGTCTGCAGATAGAGGAGCTGGAGCAGAAGTATGGTGGTCCTCTAATTTCCCGGCGAGCAGCCTGTAAGATCCAGACAGCGTTTCGTCAGTATCAGCTCAGCAAAAACTTCCAGAAGATCCGCAACTCAGTTCTGGAGAGTGGGATCCCACGACGCATGTCGGTGCGCAGGGTCCGGGTTCAGCGGGATGGTTTCTCTGCGGAACGTGCGCTGATGGAGGGATGTTCAATCATGGGCATCCCGCTCACACACTCCACCTCACTGCCAGTGACCACCACCACCACACTCACACACCTGGAGGACACGTTCAGTGAGCAGGTACAGCTACACACACATTAACAACACACAGCGGCCATTACATTCTTTATTGGATATTTAGTTCTATTCGTTCTATTTTATTGTTCATCTATTTCTTTCCAGGAAAGTCCCTTTAAGGCAAGTCATTTTACTCGGTGGCCATCTTTGGAACACCTCTCAGGCTGTATGCTTAGGCATTCTGTTTGAATGGGGAAACAAAATTCTCCAACATTGCTTGCCAAGCTTATGATTAAATTCCATATTAGAAATCACCAATAAAACTAAACAACAATTTTCTATTTAGTTTCATTTCTAAACATTTGCATCACACAAAATCTACAGAGACTCACATCTGGTCCGAGCCCCTCCCCCAAATAATCAGCAATCTATAGCAATTGATGATTGGCTTCTGTTCTAGAAGGCGGGGCTTCATTCGCCATATAGACCGTTACACTTTTTTTCTATTGAAAACTATATGAGTGAAATATCTTGAATATTCTATAGTCTTTGTTTCTAGTCAGTCATTTCAATTTGTTGTTCTATTCTATTCTATTCTATTCTATTCTATTCTACTCTATTCTATTCTATACTGCTTTGTTCTCTTCTGTTCTATTGAGTCATTAAAATGTTTCTCTGCTGTATTGTATTATTTTATATTATGTTCTGCTGTTCTATTCTATTCTATTCTATTCTATTCTATTCTATTCTATTCTATTCTATTCTATTCTATTGTAGTCATTGCTCTGATTTCCTCTGTCCTCTCTGCCAGGTCCAGTCTTTAGCGCGGTCTATTGATGAGGCTCTGAGCAGCTGGAGCACCATTCGAGATGGGGAAGGAGAGAAGTCTTCTGCTGCCCCTCCCTCCGGATCCCATCCCGAAGGGCTCCTGATGGACCCCTCCAGCCTACAGGAGGCCACACAGAGTGGCTGTGGCGAGAGCATACCTCGCAGTGCCAGCAAACTCATGATGGCTTTCAGGGACGTCACTGTTCAAATCGATAATCACAACTTTCGCCTGTCCTCCTCCATGCTGGAGTCAGTTTCTCTTGGTAACGGCGTGGCAAAAGAAACTGTCTCAGAGCCCCAAATTGGGGGACAAATTGCAGGCCAGACAACGCTGTCGACCGCAGGGGACCCTGAATTTCCTCCTCCTCCACCCAGCGAGGAAGAAAAAGAGAACCAACAGCCAATTGGATTGGACACAGTGACCACAGGAGCGGGGCTGGAGGGGAAACAGACCAATCAGGTTGCACCGGAGATAGCGGAGAACAGCTCAGACCCCATCAGCAGCAGCAGCACCTCCACATCAGCATGTGAGACTATGATCCTGTCTCTGCCTCGCCCACACTGCCAGAACACACCCTGCGGGACGCTCTCCACAGACATTGCACGCAAACGGCTGTACCGCATCGGACTTAACCTCTTTAATGTGTGAGTACAAAGATCAAATCTTCCCATTTATGCTGGCTTTTTAATGCGTGTTAAAGCTTTTGCTCTTTATAGTTTGACAGTAAATGTAGGCTCAGCTATAGGCCCAATCCCAATTCTACCCCTTAGCCCATCCCCTTAGCCCTACCCTTTGTTTTGTGTGTTCATATGAAAGGGTAAGGGTGTCCTAATTCTCTTTAGCTTGAAGGTGTAGGGCTAAGGGGAAGGGATAGATACCCCTTGAAACTGAGTTTTTCAGTTTCAGTCATGACTTTTTAAGTCAGAAGATGCACAAATTTGTATTTTTTTTGTCATTATAATACAGTTTTACAACAAACAAGCACGTTTTAATATATTCACAACTGCATTCCTGTTTTACGGTCATGCTTAAAAAAAGCTAAAATAAAAAACGCTAAATTTGGCTATCTATAATCCATAATAGTAACTCCTGTATAATAGTCTTACAACATTCGGTCACATCTAACACTCGATGACCCCTGAATACCCTGTCAGTAAAGGCTGGGAATGAGCTTTTTACAGTGTCTGCTATTATGTTAATGTTATTTTCATGGGTTTACATAGATGAATAAGGCCACGGTGTAAATGCACAGTACAGTTACGATCTTATTACCACATTAGATCGTTCTAATAACATGATATATGCCTTCAGTGATTTCCTGAAGATAAATACCCAAAAATCACATAACTGGAATAACTACTGCAGTCGCCATCGTCAATCTAAAATAAAAAAAAGAGATTGTAATGATATATGAAGTGTACAGGCACTGTAGTGGTGTCACATTTCTTAGAGGTAAATTTTGAAGCCCTTTCCCTTCACACTCTGTTTCAAGGGCCAAGGGGAAGGGGTAGGGGTACAAAAAACAATTGGGATTGGGCCATAGTGTCTTTTTACATATTTTGAAAAATTTTGATATCCAAACAGTTGATAGTCAACACAGTAAAAAAAACAAAAAACTAATTAGATGTGGAAATCAGCAGTAACCAATTATTCAGTAAGTGAACTTCAATGTTCATGCTAACATGCTGCTTTATTATTATTATTTTAAAGTTTTTTTATTAAGTGAAATATGTGGAGTTAGATTTAAAAATTATTACTTTTTTGTTGTCATTACTGGGAAACAAATTCATTAACAGGGTCCTATTTGGCCCATTTTACAAGATGTAAACTAAGTGTCTGTGTAGTTTCAGCTCAAAATACCCGTCAGATCATTTATTAAACCCTACTGAAAATGTCAGTTTTGGGTGTCAGAGGGAATTGTATCTGTTTTGCCTTTATATTGCCTTTAAATGTAAATAAGTGGCCCACTGTTCCGACCACCAATCTCTGCTTCTTCTACATTTGCCGTCAGATACACACACTACAATAACAGACACAACGGTGACTCGGATACGGATGAAACAGAAATTCAGAGTCAACAATACCACAGTAAAGGTCTTTGCACATTGAAGTCTGAAAATTTTACACACATTTTTTTCATATTCATATGCAAAAAATGGATCAAGTACACAAACCTTGCACACTGAGTCCAATGTGTATTCAAGAGTTCCACACTTGGCTGATTATTGATTGGAAAGCTAGTTTGGCATGCTGTCCTGGGAGAGAGCCCTGAGCTCATAAGATCCTTGAGCCCGGAGCCTTATTGCTAATTATTGCTAACTAATAGGGCGCCCTCATAATAAGTATAAGGGCGGCACCATGGCGCAGTGGGTAGCGCTGTCGCCTCACAGCAAGAAGGTTGCTGGTTCGAGGCTCAGCTGGGTCTGTTGGCATTTCTGTGTGGAGTTTGTACGTTCTCTACGTGTTCGCATGGGTTTCCTCTGAGTGCTCTGGTTTCCATGTGGTACAGGTGAATTGGGAAGCTAAATTGTCCCTAGTGTATGTGTGTGAATGAGAGTGTATGGGTGTTTCCCAGGGATGGGCTGTAGCAGGAAGGGCATCCGCTGCGTAAAACATATGCTAGATAAGTTGGGGGTTCATTCCGCTGTGGCAACCCCTGATTAATAAAGGGACTAAGCCGAAAAAAAAAAGAATAAATGAATAATATTATTAGGGGCAGCACAGTAACTCGGTGGTTAGCACTGTAGCCTTACAGCAAGAAGGTTGCTGGTTCAAGTCCCGGCTGGGCCAGTTGGCATTTCTGTGGAGTTTGCGTGGTCTCCCCGTGTTGGAGTTGGTTTCCTCCGGGTGCTCTGGTTTACCCCACAGTCCAAAGGCATGTGCTATAGGTGAATTGAATAAACTAAATTAATGTAAGAGTGCATGTGTGAATGCGAGAGTGTATGGGTATTTCCCAGCACTGGGTTGCAGCTGGAAGGGCATCCACAACGTAAAACGTATACTGGAAAAGTTGGCAGCTCATTCAGCTGTGGCGACCCCTTATAAGAGAGTAAGCTAAAGGAAAATGAATGAATCAATCAATTCAGGGTTTAAGCTCTGTAAGCCCCTCGCCTTCATAAGCCAGCTCTGCTCCGATTGGTCTGTTTTGATTGGTCTTTCCATATATATGTTCCATGTCTAAAACAAAACGCACATTTCAGAGTGCTTGTATGTCACTGAAGGCATACGCTGGAATAGTTGGCGGTTCATTCCGTTGCGGTGACCTCTATTAATTGAGACTAAGCTGAAGGAAAATGAATGAATGATTTGCATGCAAAGTGCAACAATGTTAATTATTCATTCATTCATTTTCTTTTTGGCTCAGTCTCTTTATCAATAAGGGGTCGCCACAGCGGAATGAACCGCCAAATTATCCAGCATATGTTTTATGCAGCGGATGCCCTTCCAATCACAACCCAACACTGGGAAACACTCTCATTCACACTCATTCACCACTGACAATTTAGCTTATTTAATTCACCTATAGCGCATGTGTTTGGATTGTGGGGGAAACCGAAGCACCCGGAGGAAACCCACGCAAACATGGAGGGAACATGCAAACTCCACACAGAAAACGCCAACAAACCCAGCCGGGGCTCGAACCAGCGAGCTTTTTGCTGTGAGGCGAACGTCCTATCCACTGCACCACCATGCAGCCCCTAATAATTGTTTCAGAGCGTCTGCAAATAAAAGCTGATGGATTGCTGAGTGTATTGGGTCAGACAGTGATGTTGTCTCAACACATATGGGAGCAACAAGTACTGTGTGTCGCTGTTGGTTTTTCTATTACATATTGTTTGAGCAACGCTAACAGAAATGAATGCTTTAGCAGGATTTCAACTCGACTAAAGAATAAAGCTTTTGTTTGCCAGGTCAGTTTGACCGTGACTAAATGAGCTGAGTGCATTTTCATTTTGCCTGCTGAAACACACACACACACACACACACACAAACACACACACGCACACACGCTCAAACATGTATACATACACACATACGCAAGACTATATTATACTCCCTCAGGGCTGATTGTGAAGCTCTTTCTCTGCTCCACTTTGTGTGTGTAGCTCTTTCAGACGTGCGCACACACACACAAACACACACACATACACAGAAAGAAAGAATAAAGCCAATCCACAGAGGCTTCGAAGTGCATCAGCACTCAATTGAAATCTCAGATCAGATTCACTTTGACATGCTTGACGTGAGTTGCACTACGGTTGCCAAGGCAACCAGGTGATCTTACACTCTCTTTCTCACACACCCGGACACAAACACACACACTAAGGCTGTTTACTAAGAGTGCAGAACGATGTTTCTGTCAAGATGTATGTATGAATTGTATGTTTGCTCAGCATGAGTTAGTGTGATGCAGCATGTTTGCGGTGATGCATGTGTGTGTGTGTTTGCCGGATGCGACCTGTGAAGACGCTCAGCGGGCTGGAAATAATGCACATGGCGCAGTGACGTCATCTCACAGATGAGCGCTAAACAGAACAACGGGCAAACACAAAAGGAGAGATATGTGAAAAATCTTAATGTAATAACCCACATGAAAGAATACTGGGTACAATGGGTAGCGCAGTCGCCTCACAGCAAGAAGGTCACTGGTTCGAGCCTCGGCTGGACCAGTTGCCATTTCTGTGTGGAGTTTGCATGGTCTCTCTGTATTCACGTGGATTTCCCCCTCAGCCCAAAAACATGCGCTATGGGTGATTTGGGTTGGCTAAATTGGCCGTAGTGTATGTGTGTGAATGAGAATGAATGGGTGTTTCCCAGTGATGGGTTGCAGCTGGAAGGGCATCTGCTGCATAAAACATATGCTGGATAAGTTGGCAGTTCATTCCGCTGTGGCGACCCCAGATTAATAAAGGGAGCTGAAAAGAAAATGAACATAATACTAGAGTCATTCATAGGGATGCACCCAAATGAAACTTCTAGCCCAAAACTGAAAATTCTGAATGCATTTGAGTGAAAACCGAAACCAAAATTAATTAATAAGTATTTTTTACATGACTGCAGATTACTTTTAATCTTTTTTTTCTAATAAATGATTTATTTAATTATTTCTTCTAATTTTTTGGGCATTTGTCTACATTTTGCATAGTTTTTCAGGTGTTCCATATTGATTTAGCATTAAACGGTTTAGAAAAACCATTTATTCGGTACACCTGTCCAACTGCTCGTTAACGCAAATTTCTAATAAGCCAATCACATGGCAGCAACTCAATGCATTTAGGCATGTAAACATGGTCAAGAAGATCTGCTGCAGTTCAAACTGAGCATCAGAATGGGAAAGATTTAAGTGACTTTGAATGTGGCATAATGGTTGGTGCCAGACGGGCTGGTCTGAGTATTTCAGAAACTGCTGATCTGCTGGGATTTTTATGCACAACCATCTCTAGAGTTTAGTGTGGGCGCAGTTCTGTGGGTGCGAATGCCTTGTTGATGCTTGTTGATGCTAGAGGTCAGAGGAGAATGGCCAGACTGGTTCCAGCTGATAGAAAGGCAGCAGTAACTCAAATAACCACTCGTTACAACTGAGGTCTGCAGAAGAGCATCTCTGAACAGACAACACGTCCAACCTTAAGGCAGATGAGCTACA